CCCCCCTCCCAATACGCCACTGAGGCGGCCACATGGGGGGTGTATACAATTACACGAGCTTCTTATTTGTTGATTTAATTGCACATTTTAGTAATCGCCTTTGCATTTGTTCACGCTGCTCAAGAGCAAAGCAAATTATGTCTACAACTGATGGGTTAGCTTCGAATGAATAATTTATTTAGAGAATTAAAAGCCTTACACATAGTTTTCTATGGAAAATTTCTCACATACTCATGTATGGTACCTCCAATGTCTCTACCAAATGTCTATAATCGACAAGTCTCTTGCTCTCTCAATGCTCATTAAAACTTTTAAGTCTCGAAAAAAAAATAATCTTCAGAGAACATTTCCACCACTTTCTTGGCTAGAATGTTCCTTTGGGTTTGTTTCCTTTAGAGAGAAAAGTCATTGGAAGACATGAATACATATGTATATATATATTTTAAAGTTAACTTCTGTCTCATGTTTATCATTTGCCACCTTTGCCAATTATAACAAGTAGCAGACGGCAGCAGCAGCAGCAGCTACTTGTATGTGTGTGTGTGTGTGTGTGTGTGAGCATATCCTGTTCTTAGTTTTCCGCCTTTTGATACATATCCTTTTCCACTTCTGGCCCTGAGCGTTGAGCACAAGTTCTTTTGTCCTTAGCCAACACGCTTGCCTGAGTCTGTTCTGTGAAAAGGAGTTTTGAGTTGACAAGGACAGCCAGCTAGCGAGGCTGGATGGATCCCTGGATGGCTAGCTGACTGGATGGATGGGTTGTCTAGGCTCAATTTCATAACAAAAACTTGAGCACGTTTTCTGCAGCAAAGGCGAGACTATAGAGCCACTAACACAGCACCCCCCTAGACCCCACAACTTAACCCGAACGCTTCAATGCAAACAATTTAGCACGGCCTCACCGGAGACTTAATCAAAAGCCAACTTAGGCGACGGCACAGACAGACAGTGTCTATGCTTGATACAGCAGCCGTGATATCATGTCGCTTTAGTGGCTCCTTTTCTTAGTGTTGTAACTTGCAACTGACTCCAAAAGTGTCAGGTTTTTTTTTTTGTTTGTATTTTTTACTTTTTTCCTATTAGGCAAAGTGCCTGGCGGGCATTTAAACTTGAAAAATGTATAAAGTTCATTGCGCTGAATGGTGTGAAATGTAAACAAACTTGGAATGTGAAAGGGATATCATGTTTTGGGAAAAAATAGTTGAAAAATAATTTACAACATTTTATAAAGAAACATACAATTTCAAAGATTTAATAGTTCTAAATTATGAAAAATTCTTTGAAAATATGTACAAATAAAAACCTGCATATTGCTGAAAAAATTAACAGAATAAATTAAATATTATAATATTTATGGTAGAAGCATTAATGAATTTTCTTAGTTTTGGAAAAAACTCTCTGAGTAACATGCATTTTGATTTTATTTTATTTCCATCAAAACTTCTAAAACTTCATCAAAATCCTTTCCTCTAAGATAAAAATTCCCGTCACAGCTGCTGCCAAAAGTGTTTTTCACCAAACTACTTTCAGATTTTATGGTCAAATAACATTTGGCTAAGAGAACTTCACTTCGATTTTTGTCGCAGCTGCTTGGGGCGGGCCAGAATTTTCAGCAGATCATCAAAAATGTTTATGGGAAATTTACGGAGGCATTAAACCCCTGAACAAAAATGAAGGAAAAAACAGAAGGAAAAGGCGAATAAACTTAAATGAAATGAAACAATTACAAAAAAAAAAAAACGGAGCTAAAAGAGAATACATACAATAAAAACAATTTGCATAACAGAGAGAAGGAAGGAAGGAATACAGCAGAAGCAAAAAAAGAGAAACGAATTCACGGTCAATGTAAAGCCCCAAGAAAAACAACAAAAAATCGCTGAAAACATAAAGAGAGGAACGAAAGAAAACGAAGAGAAACAGAAGCAGACACAGATACCGCGATGCAGCGTACAGATACAAATATGTGGTATATAAATCAGCCTGGCAACAGGCCATACAAATCGAGATGCAAAATGCAGATGCATGCCACCCAGCCCCGGGGCTCCTCATCCTCCTCCTCTTGGGTTAGGCTGTACAAAAAATGAGTGTAAAAACTTGCGGTTAATCGGAGGCCCACACTCTCCATTCTCTCTGTCTCTCTCTTTCTCTGTGCGCACAATCCCGTTAGGAGTCGGCAGCAGTCAGCTGTCGCGTGTTGCCAGGCAGGAAGCGGAGCCTATGGGTCGCCATATTTGCCGCCATTACCGTTAGCTGTCCCTCTCTCTCTCTCTCCCAATTTATTTTGGTGCTACCAAGTCGCCACGAAGTTGCTGAGCAAAACAAAATGGTTGAAAATGTCAAGTGCGGCTGCGACGCCGGCAGCGAAAACAACGCCTAGCAGCAACAGCTGTTGGCAACAGCGAAGCTGCAAGCCAAAGCGGAGCCAGCAAATGATGCGAATTGCGAGGCCAAAAGCGAGAGGCCGTGAATTGAGGTTAGGATTTGGAGGGAAGAGGATGCCGCAGCAGGATGCTGCTGTCATTGCACCTTTTGTTGGGCCTCCTCCTCGTCCACATGGCAGTGGATGGATATGGGGGATGGGCGCCGCTTAAGCCTCGCCCGAACAAAGGACCACCCCACCACTCTTTATGGGATTCTGATGTTGGGAGAGAAGCTCTTTTGGTATTTAGGAGTTTCGGTTTCGGGGTTGTTTGCTCGGGTATTTTTAGGTCCTTTAGGGTGGGTTCAGCCTAGCAGCCTACGACGTCGACGACGATGATGATGATGACTAAGCGCATCTTAGTAGCAGCAGAGTAGAGGCTTTTCCCCCCGTATGCTATGATAAAAAAAAGGGTTAACGGGAGTTTAACTTGGTTTTTGTTTCGAGTGCTTAAAGCCTTGTTCACTAGTTCGGGCATGTGTCACTATTAGATAAATTATCCACTTGAGTGGATATCCTGGCTGAAGTACAACATTAGGGGAGCCAGGCAAGCCCTTCGTTATTTTAAAGTTTGGGGTTAACGTAACGTAGGGGAATGTTTAGCTGGTGTTTGAGTGTTCTAAAAGGTATTTTGTTTAAGAGCAAGGTAATTAGAAGCTGTTTTTTTTATAAAAATTAGGAAAGAAAAATTAATCTGGCATAAATATTTAATATTTAATGGATAGAGGGTTTTGCAGAGTCAAATATTAATAAATTAATTTGTGAAAATTGAAACGCCCAAACGAGTGACTCATGCGAAGGGAACTCTCTTTTTGAGCTTGACCAACTGTTGCTGACAGATGCAAAATAAAATATTGTACAAAATGTATTGTCCAGTTACAGATATGTATACCCCTCCACCGAGACCGCAGCTGGCAATCATCGACGGCCACAGCGACAAAAATCTATTATGCAAAAGGCGAAAAAAAAAACATAAAGAAAAACCAAGGGGAAAAAAACACCAAGAAAAAACCGCAAAGCAAACATGAACAAAAACTGACCGCACTCAACGCCAGAGTCGCGGGCTACACAAAAGCTACTTAAACCACCGTTAAGCCAAACACTTTGCAAATGGCCCACACCCCTACTGGTACGCCCCTCTTTTCCGCCTGACTTTTCCGCTGGAAAACTAGTTGCCTAAGGTCAAATGGCGTTTAATAATTTGGGTTACGACTATAGCTGCCTGGCTGACTAGCTGGGCTGGCGGTGCAACTGTAACAGATACCGTGGTCGGGTTAAGAGATTGAGATACATATCTGGTCGATATACCAAGCAGATACTCGTACTCGTATACTCGAATAAGACATTCGACTCGGAGTTTGGCGCGTGCCAATTAAACGTGGCTTAGAGCTGTTGGCTCTTTGTGTTTTTCTTTTGCCTGCTTATGGTCCAGCACACGCCCAACTTTTTTGTGGCTCAAACAATATTGCATGTCAGGCAAAGTTGGCAGCCCACAGCACACGTCTCTCCCCCGCTCTCTGGCTCTGAATTGGCGGGGCATTTAGTTGGGTTTTGTGATTGGGGAGCGATTTGTACGCGGCTTCTTATGGTTTATCTATGAGTTTTATCGCATGGAAATATATGCAAAATTATAAAATGGGAAATCCGGGGATCATTTAAGCCCTAGCCATACACACATTCAGATATATATTTATCCAAAGAGTTGATATGCTAAGGCTTCCCTAATTCCTACAACTACTGTGGATATTTTTCTTAAGGTAATAATGAATTATCTTATAAATCAAATGAAATTCAATCTGGACCTACAGCCCTTATTCCTTTTTATTTATTTTGCATTTCTGTGTCTTCCCATTTATTCGGTTAGCTCCCCCCATGCGGAAACCTTTCAATAACTTCTCAATTTTCTCCCTCTTTGAACACTTGTTCGATTAATTTTTATTGAATTACAATTACAAATTTCGCTTGCGGCCTCTTTTCGTGTGTAACCGATTGTAATTTAATGCAAATTTCATGTTCTCCCCCTCTCTATCTTTCTCTCTCTTAATGGAGGTGACAAAATTCGGACCTGACCATACCTAAAAAAATAAAACAAAACCTGGCTGTTGGATCATGCTGATGAGTCAACAACCCAGCCTTGAAAAGTGAAACTTGCCTGAGAAGAACTGAAGCAGTCAACAACAACTTGGCTAATTGCTGACCCATTTCGATATGCAAAGCAATAACCCGATTAACGGACAGTCGGACAGTTTAACGGACAAGATATTATGCTTCGAAAACTAAAGCATAAGTAAGAACTATTAGTAATTCATTTTCACTTGTTTCTATTCTACTTTAGCCCATTTAGAATTTGGAGAATAATTCATCAGATATTTAATAGCTTATCCATAATCTCTACATTATTTATTTCTGTAATGGTATTACAAGCTTAAACCCTAAACGATTTCCAAAGAGATCCTTAGAAATCTGTCAAGTTTAAGCCACCGAAGCTACCCATTTCTTCCCAAGATTCCCCCAATAGAGGGAATGACTTAAGGGTGATTCTATCGATAGGGAGTACTTTTAAAGATCTTTGTGGACTTACGGCTCTGCTGGCTGTGGTAGAGGCGCACCCACTCGCAGAGGGCATAGAGCACCTGGTCCGGGGGCAGTGGGGACTGCATCGGCGTCTGCGTGGCCGAGGTGGTGGTGTTTGGCGACTGGGAGGCAATGCTGCTGGCACCGTCCGAGGAACCTGCCGATGAGGTGGAGGCACCCGATGAGGATGCACCCGAAGAGGAGCCCGAGGCGCCCGACGAGGCAATGTCATCGGCTCCGCCCTCGGGGAGATAAAAGGGCACGGCCATTGTCCGCGTGTGTGTCTGTGTTTTGAGGGATGGGGATGGGTGTCCTGCGCTTTCTGCTTTTGCCTGGCTCTTCTTTCCTCTTCCTTCCTTCTGTTTTCTTTTTTTTCCTGGCTCTTTGTTATTGTTCTTCGTTCGTTTTGGTTGTTATTTTGCTCGTTTTTCTTTTTACGGGTTTCACTCAATTTATTTTGTATTTCTTGTGCAAGATTTTGAATATTAGAAACTTTTGCATTTTTTGTGCAGTTTTCTTTTTGTATTTCACTCAGAGTTGGTTATTTTTTGTGCATTAGTTTTTTGTATGTTACTTTCAATTCTTTTGCATTTTTCATAAAGAACTTTTTCGAGAACTTATTTAAAAACACAAACAATATATCGGGATAGGGGGTTTATCTTTTTTCGTCAAAGCACTTAAAACGTGTGTGTGTTCGTGTGTCGCAGACTCAAGAGAGAACGCTTCCAGAGATCTGGAAACTGTCTTCGGGCTGGGGAGTGAACACGTCTTACTGGCTCCGCGGCTAAAAACTGTTTGTGGCGGCGGCAGGCGCCTCAAACTACAGTCGGCAGAGTCGGCTCAGCGGCTAGGCGGCAGCGAGGCGACGCTGGCAGAGCAGCGCAGAGTAGGCGCAGGGAGCCAGTGCACTGTGCTGTGCTGTGTTCTCTCTCTCTCTCCCTCTCTTGCTCATGCACATGCACATGCAAGCAGGTAGCTGGAGGGGGCGCGCAAAGAGTATAAAAAATCTCTTCCAAATGAGAGTGAGTGGGCAGGGTAGGCAGGCGGTTCTTGTGCGAGCATGTGTTTGTGCCTGTGTCTGTGAGAGAGTGCACAAAGATCTTGTTGAGCAGGTAACAGGCGGCAGCGCAGTAACAGCATGGGGAGCAGAGCTGCCCAGCGAACGTTAAAGCAAAACAAAAAGTACGTTTGTGCAGCGCTCTGCTCTTGGGGACTTTGACTGGCTCTCTTTTTTTTCTAGTGCGGCAGAGAACCAGGCAGAGCAGAGTGTTTTTAAGAGCCTAAAAAAGAGTAGTAGAAATGGGAGTATTAGCAATACGAAAAATGTCTCTAAATGGGAGGAAAATGTAGGAAAACTGCCTATAAGAATAAGTAGCATGTTTTAGAGAGTGGTACATGCCTTTCCATAACTTGACTTGGTTGTTTTTTTTTTATTAAATTTGTAATTTATGTTACTTTTTGATCAATTTCATCATATTTACAAAAATTGACTTCAAACCTGTTTTGCTCTCAGGCCCACTGTAAACAGGCTTATGCTTGTCTCCCCATCATTGCTCCCCTCCTTCTCTCTCTCTCTTGCAGACTCACCACAATAAAATTTGCGCGCGAAAATATGAAGATTAAGAATCAAAGAAATTACGAAACAATTTTTAAATATTATTTTAAAATGTATGTTCTTTTGCTATCGCACATTTTATGCAGAGATTAATTTCAAATTCATATGTTACATTTTTTTAATGATTCTTTAAAACGAATATTGCAACTTGATAAATTTTACGGTTTCTTGGGATCTTCTTTGTCTCATTTTCTAATTGATTATTTCTAATAAATATTATTATTATAGAAATCCCACCTTAATGAAAGCTAGTCATTTATTATGCAATTAATATCTAAATTTCCTTCAAATATCCCTTAAAATGGGTTCAAAAGAGGTCAACTATAGCCGATTAAATGCGATAAGAAAGAACATCCGATGCATTATGCAGGGATTGCCCCATATGATGAAATTCAGAAAAAAAAATCTCTTGCACACAAGCAACCCAACATCCAACATGAACATGAACGAGCATGCCAGAAGCGAAGAAGTCCAAAGCAAAGAGGAGAAAAAGGTTCTACAGGAAGAGGGGGGAGTTGACAGCGAAATGGAACAGAAAAAGGGGCTCGATTTGTATGTTTTTAGCTTTAGTTTAGATTTTTGCAGCTCAAAGCTTTTTCATTTGGGACTCCAATTTCTAGAGGGTTGCATAAAGGATGGATAGGGTTATGGGAATCGGACAGAAGTATGGGGAGTTGCCTGTTGATTTCTGAGTGAAACTGATTAAGCGAAATATGAGTAGAAGCCTCGTCTTGGACACAACAGAAAGAACAAAAAATAAAGAAAACATGGATACGAGATGGGACGACATTTAACATGAATGAGAAAGATATGTATGGTGGGGAAATATATATAGAAATCTTCGTAGATATGATGAAATTCATTGAGTGATGAGAGAAGTTTATATTTTAACTTGATTTCCTTTCGGTTCCATAGTAAACTTAAGGTTTAAAAAAAATAATGAAACGGAATAAAACACTGAAAATCATATCAGAAACGCATAAGCAAATAACAGATACAGAGATAGAAAGAGATAGACAGAGAGACACAGCAAATAAAGAGTAAAATTAAAAACGACTTCCCCATTTGACATTTCTGGGTCAGCGACCCAAAACGAGCTGCTCCGTCGCTCTCCTCCGCCCCCAACCCTTTCGAGTGGGTCCAAGCACGGCCCCGCCCATACTGCTGTTGCTGCTTTTATTGTTATTGAATATGATTATGTGGCACGCTGCAAAAGCGAGCGTAAATTATTTATTACACAATTTCTGCAGCAACAACAATGAAAACAAATAAATTTCTGCATCAAGACTGTTGTTGCTGTTCATATACCCTTTCAGAGGGTGTCAGAGTATTTCAGAGTATTCATATACTCTTTCAGAGTATTTATACGAGATGCTCAAAAGCGGATGGAGCTAAGGGGTGGCAGATTTATAAATTATTATTAATATTATTATCTAACTATATAAAAAAAATTGTCGAATCAAGGCACGAATTTCGCCGCCAAGACTCTCAAGCATAGCGACTCCAAAGTACAGGGTATCTCCTTGTCGAGTCACTCGACTGTAGCGTTCTCTCTTGTTTTGACTGCAGTCGCTGCCGCTAACACTGCCGACGCTTGCTTCAATAAAAAGAAATAATAATTCATAAGCGGAGAAGCAACAACAAGAGCAACAACGAGAGCAATCAATTAGGCGGTGAGCGGCTAAACAACTGTAAATTGTGCGCTTGTGCAGCGCCAACAGCGACGCAACGCAGCGAACGACAAATGCAGAGAAGTGCACAGAGCAGCAGCAGAGAGCGTGGCAGCGCAGAGTACGAGCATTAGCGTAGGAGTAGCGGTGAGGAGGGAGTAGGCCTGCCTGTTCTACACAAATTACCGTTAAATTAAGCGCTTGCCGTTTCATCACTTAACCAGAGAAAGAGTGAGAGATGGAAAAAGTGTGCAGGAGGCGAATAAAGATAGTGTATGGGGTTCTCCCTCTCTTCTGGCCTGTGCGTAAAGTGTTATACAAGCTATTATAAATCGCGGGCATACTTTTGGAAGCAGGCCCATCGAAGATATGTATGTCTCCAGGATGTGGATATCGCTGTTCCCTACATACATACATATATCATTCTCATTGGTACTTACACTTTCTTAGGCAACCCCGCTTTTTTTGTTGTATTTCTCCTCCTGCAATCAGCATCTGGCATCTCGATGACCTGCTCTTGATAAGCACAGCTGCCTCTACCCCAATCACCCTTTGCCTATGACCATGTCTATATCCATGCCCATGCCTATACTTATTCCCTCCTTTTGCACATGCCCTTGCCTAGCCCCCAACCCCATTTGGCAGTACCCATGCCAATTGCAGCAGCAGCAAATGAAGCGAGCCCTTGGGGCCAGGGCTGCACCGCGGGCAGAGGAAGAGCAAAGAGCGAAGCAGCACGCGACCAAAGCGTCACATGTGCAGCAATCTCACACACACACACACAGACACAGGGATGGATACACTCCCCCCAGCATAGGCCCTACTCTCAGTCACAGTCCATCTCCCTCTCACTGCCAAAGGCAGCTGCGAAAACGTCAAGAACGTTGACTTTGTGGAAAAGGCAAAAAAGAAATCGGGGGGAAAAAAGCAAAAGAAAACGAAGAAGAACAAGAAGAGAACGAACGTGATGATGATAATGATGCTGCTGCTGTTTGCTGAACGAGTGGGGAGGGACAGGCTGCGGACAGGACAACCGCAGTGTGTGCAGGCAGCTGTTTTCGGAACGGGAGAAGGCACCTTCTCTGCCCCCTTTGACTTTGATTTTCAAAAAATCAACTAAACATTGGAAAAGCTTTCTGTCAACCCTCGATGCTGCTGCGGCTACTGCTGCTGCTGCTGCTGACACTGTCCTAGCGCAACGTCATCATCAGCATCCCACTGGGTCACTGACCTATCAAGCGCAAGACCTATTGAGCAGCACGCAGCCAAATGGGAGAGCAGCGACTGAGGCAGAGCTAGAGCACAGGCAGAGGAGGAAAGAGGCATAGCAGAGCAGCGTGTGGGAGCGCTAGCACCCATGCAAGAGGGGGAGGCTGGCAAATGTGCCAGCAAATGTTGCCTGTTGACTGAACGAAACCAAAGCCAAAACAGAAACAACGATGGAGAATGCTGTAGTCGAAAAAGAGATACCCTATACTTAGGTCTCAGAAGAAGATACTACAGTTAAAGCAACAGGAATTCAAGGTAACTTACTTCTTCGATTAAAAGGTTATAGCTCCTCAACCTTTTCTGCCGAGTCCTTTTTGTAGAGAAATAGAAAGAGAGAGGGTTTTCGATTAAGGGCTAACGCTACCGTTTACTTGTCGTTGCAATCAGCTGGTTGGAATCATCATGGCCTCTGGAAGGGTATCATACTCCTATCGCGCGCGCTCCTTCTTTCGCTGCTCTCCTTCGGCCTCCCTATTGCTCTACCCCCTTCTATGTCTGTCTCTGTCTTGCGCTGCTGCATAAAAACGAAAGCGCAGGCGAACAAAAAATTAAAATAAACGAACAGGGCACCCCGTCCCCACGCTTCCCCACATAAAACCGACAACAGGCGCATCAAGGGCAGTGCAGTGCTGGGGGCGGGCGGCTGATTGTCAGGGGAACGCGACGGAAGATAGGGTATGTGTAGGGGATGTGGAGGCGTATGTGCGCACACTTTAGGTGTCAAAGTGGCGCAGAAAAACTTTGCCGAAGGCAACCAGCAACATTTTTTGTGGCAATTTTATTTAAATTTTGTTTCAGGTTCTTTCTCCTCTCAAACTGCTGTTGAAAGGGGGTTACGGAGGGAACCGAAATGAGGGAAGGTTTAGGGACGGAGCCGAAAAGTGGATGTGCTACGGAAGGAACCAGAAAAGGGAAGGGTTACGAAGGGAAACCAAATGGAGGAGACTTACGGACGGAACCTGAATTGGGGTAATTTGTGTATAGCGAGGGCAGGGGTTCGCACAGGCAAGGGTCGTCGTTAAGTAGCTCTAAAGGGGTCTAAGGCCTTCATGTGAGGAAGATTTAAGGCTGGACCTTATTCCTGCCCGCTTTAAAGCCGATCAATTGAGCATAGGTAATCTCTTATAATGAATGTAAGCCAGTCAATCCGACTACGATCTTGAAGAGATAGCACTTCAAGCCATATCGGATGTCTGAAATTCGCTGTAGTACCATTTAAATGAGTTATACAAAACCAACGAAAAAGCAGAACACATCTTTGTATAGTCTCCTTTGAGTGTTGTACGAAACCACTAAGCTTTACCGCATTTCAAATGCGAGTTATCCGGCCTAAGACGCACTGTAATATGTTTGCTAATCATACGCATCGTTGTTACAGTGGATCCCAAACAGAACGCGGAACGTTGTTACCCTCGAAACCGAACAGTAGCCGCAACGTTGTTTAAATGGAATCCAAACAGTAGCCAGACAGAACACAAAAAGTAACAAAATGTCATGATTTACAATATGAAATCATATTGGCATGGCAGTAGTATCTCCGAGAGGGTTTTTTCAGTATTCTGTCGTTGGTTATTTAGTCTTTTATCTGGTTTCATACAGCAACAAAACGCAGAGAACCACAGCTGAAAATCAACGCCCAAAGGGTTTTCGAAACTGAACGCACAAGCAAACAGAAAGAGACAGATAAAAAGACAGAGTAGAGTGGAGTAAAAAAAAATATGTTACAAAGCCAGAGAAACCATGAAAAAAAAAACAGTAAGAGTGAGAGAGAGAGAGGGGGTCCAGAGGGAAGTGCATTTATTTTGTGTAAGACAGGTAGCAGCAGAGTCACCGCTCGTCTCGGCCATTGTCTGCTTCCCCCACCGCAGCCAGCATATACCCCTCCCTTTGTCCAAGAAAAGTGCGCAGTTAAACAAAAAAAGAAAAAAAAAAAGAAACGATCGTCAGAGCAGCCCACGGACAGAGGGAGAGACAGCAAAACGAAACGAAACGGAAAAAAGATCCACATAATCGATCAAGGTGCAGTTTGAAAAGGTGAGGCACTGCCGCTCTTCAGGGTTGCCTATTTAATTTGGCACTGTCTCTCTTTGGGTACTCTTTTCGTCTGCATCCACTGTCACACAATATTCGAAAACTATCAAGTATGATGGTTGGATATGTTTTACCTTCGTTTAACACACCTTGGCTATGGCCTCCCGCTCTGCCGCTCGCTGCGCTTCCTTAAATGTGTTAAAAACGCGCAGCGAGATTAAATGAGCATAAAATACATCGCAGCGGAGCGGTGAGGTGAAGTAGAGGTAGAAAAACTTCAAGCAGCGTGTAGCAGAAACAACAGCAAAATCGAACCGAAAAAGAAGAAGATAAACGAAAGCTCTCATCGCAGGCAGAGACGTTTGATACCCTTGCAGAACGCACGCTCTAACCGATATTGCAATGATTTTTTCATTGACAACAAATAGTTCTTTACTCGATTGGTGACCCCGATTAATTATACATACATACATACCGCAGTCGGATATACTTTCTTCCTTGCTGCGCAAACATCTGGTCAATCTCCGACTACCCTCATCAAAGGGTATTAAAAGAAGAACTTTAAGATGCCAGACACGAAGCACGTCGTCGTCGACGTTCATCAGCGCCCCCTCGGCCCATGACAGACAAGACCCAGAAACCCACACTCCCTCCACAGTTAGCCGGGTATACGTCTACCCTGGTTGTACCCCTCGAGCCTTTTCGCCAAATAAAATATTCATGCTGTGCGGAGGCCCGAGGGTCGATCGCTGTCGCTGAGGCTACCTCCGCTGCCGTTGCTTGCTCCTGTGGTGCCTCAAGGGTTTATGGAAACGGGAGGCAGAGTGTAGAGAACTTCATAAAGTGAAAATGTGTAGCATATTTCCAGTTCCAGATGATATGCAAGGGGGGTACGGTACGCAAATGCGCAGTGTCCACGGACCGATTAAAGACTGGACTGGACTGGATTTCAGTTGAGTTGAGGAAGAGCCCGGAGATGAGTACGAGGCTGTGGACGCGTTCGAAGCCGCAGATGAGACGTTTAGGGTTCGGTCAGAGAGAGGTTCGACCTAGGAAACCAGAGGATCACCTGCCCAAGGAATGGAACGAAAGTTGTAGATGGATTCATTTCTAAATTATTTGTAAGATCCCTAATAAATTTACTGTTAAGCTAACTTTAGCAGATCCTAAGATCTTCACTCAATCACTGATGAACCCAACTACCCCAAAGTTACTCCGGTACCGCCTTGGCACACACACAAAAACACATACACACTCGATCAATGCGCTACAATATCTCTTTTGGTTTTTTGGTTCCAAAGAAGCAGACAAAAGCCCATCAAAAATTATGCCCCGCAGGCAAATGATGGCAATGAAGAAGCAAAACCCCAAAATCAAAATAAAAAAAAAACCAGAGAAGAGAGAAACAAAAAATTATACGCAATCGAGTGGTGCCGGGCAGCTTCTGTTCAGAGAAGGCGGACAGGCAGGGTCCAGCCAGGCACACAGCATCTTCGATCCACGCCAGTCGGCCAGGCTAACAAATTATGCCCAGCCCGGTCGGGACCGGCCATAAAACATTCTGGCTGGACTCGGTCAGCGTATCACGATCGGAGCAGTTGGCAAACCCCTTGGATAGGGGTTTGGGGGTCTGGGGACGACGACTGGGCACACGCATTGGATGGGTCCCGCCGAACCACTTCGGTATCTTGAGCTCTGCATCAACGCCTCAGAATGCGGACCCCATCCACACCATCGTCCATCCTCCTATCCACCATCCACCATCCACCGTCCACCGTCCGTCCTTCTCTCTGGGTCTTTGGCAAAAGTTTTAATCATGCGTTCGTGTTCGCCAAGTTTTCGTTGCTTTCGCTGTTGCGCTGTTCCTGTGTTTCTTATAATGATTGCATTTATCATTTATTCTGCGCGTCAACGAAATTATATGCCTGAGCTTGCCCAAGCCCAAGGAGCACGGTCGGGGGGTTGGGGGAAAAAAGGGAGACCCAGGTCTCAGTCGCAGTCGCTGTCTCAGTCCCGATTCGAGGCCAAGAGCACAAAACCCATATTTAAGTGGGTTCGATCGATTTGGCCATGTGCGCATTGATTTTCAGAATGTTTACTGGGGTTTTTGTCTGTAGTCAGTAAAAGGAGTTCTTATGGTTGCAGGATACAAAGTCATGCAAAGTAAGAGGAAACATAGAGTAGGGAGAACTATATTTAAGTCCCCCCAGGTGGATGTCAACCTATGAGAGATGGTAGTAGTAGTTGAAGAAAATCGAGATGTCCGGACATGCGGACAACGTCTATATGGGTTAATGAGATAGAGAAAATATTCACTCCTTCAGTTCGTAAGCAAACAGTCTGGCAGTTAACAGTTGCAACCGAAACCCCATCTGTTGAGGAAATTAATCTGGACAATGTGTGGAAATGGCCACTCGAGATACAGTTTCCATGGATTACCCTCATCAAGGCATCGCCTGGAGTTAGAACTGTACGATAAAAGCTTTAGAACGCCCCATAAGTATTTTTTTTTCGGCTGCTAGTCGCACTGCTACCCAGTTGGCGTGTGTTTTGTGTGCTGCCTGTTGCCACAAAGTGGTTATAGTTGCTGGTCTATTGCTGCTGCTGATTTCCCCTTTGGGGCAATTATGTGCCGAGCTCCCCAGGTTGCGGGCCATTTATAATTGCGGGCCTAAGACACTCTTTTCAGCTACTGGTTGCAACTTGCAACTGCAACTGCAACTCCAACTCCTGCTGAGATTGATCAGAGACAAATAGATGGACCATAATAAGTGCAATGCGGGTACTGGTATCGGGCCAGATACTAGATACTTTGTTGCCGTTGGGTAGCATGCAGCACGCGCCACACACTCCAAAGATAAGTGGAGAAATACGTGGATATGTAGAGGGAATAGAGGGAGCTGCCGATCAACTGCCGCGTATTAATTGGAATTACGGTAATTGCCCGCCAGCACTGGCCGAAAAAGGTGGCGAGCCTCCGCTCAGCTGATCCCGCAGCCTGATCTGCGGCCATTCTCCTATTTCTCCCTCCACTCTACTGAACTTCCACTGAAATCGATCCTCACAACGAAAGCGAAACTTTCCTGCCCCCTTATCCATGCTCCAGTAAATTCTCAACCTCTCTCGCTGGGCATCAAAGAAATCAGGCTCACGCTGCCGCCTAGAGGGGTACAGTGCAGTTCGCTCAGTTTCTCTGGAGCAAATGTCTCGCTTGGCTGGGAGCGACTCTGGGTCACTGCTAACTGGAGCTAAGATCAGCACAGAGCTCCGCACAGGGTCAGGGCAACTACACAAAGCTGTAAGGCAGCTTAAGATAGGGAAAAAGAGCACTTTGCAAGTGTTTTGAAACAATTTCGTTATCAAAAGGAACAAGCAAATGATAGAGACACATCTTTATTTCCCGCAAAAAATGGTCCTAGGTCCTGTCTTCAATAGGAGGTTTATGTAGCCTTATACCTTGAGCTGAGCGGGCATCAAGAGGCTTCCAATCATATGGATTCGCTGGGTAATCCGTTGTTACCTTTAAAAAGCCCGTATTTGGATATTTAGCCAACTGCAAAAGTGGATTTACATTCCATTATTTTTACTGATCCTCAACATCTTAAAGTAAACTCACCAATTTTCGCACCTCGGCATATTTGGTAAGTTTAAACACCTTTAGTTCGAAGGGTTTCTCGGGCTTAAACCCATTTTCATTGAGAATGTCCATTATAGAGTTGACAAATGTCTCGGTTATGTTGGAATCACCCAAAACTATGGAAAAAAATTGTAGCTTTCTACAGCGTTGGAGTACTTGGAGAACATCACTTTCCTGCAAAGGTTCGTCAAGATATAGCAACTCCAGTCGCTCCAATGTGCTGGAGTGTTGCAGAACCCATTGGTTCAGGAATTGGCAAGTGGCTATAGGTGTATGCCTTATCCTCAAATGTTTCAGTTTAGGAAAGAGCGGCCAAACCGTTGGGATGTGGCAGTGAACCACAAGAAGATTCTCTAGGGAGGGACAAGGCGACACACCAAATTCTTTTGGGATAATTACATTCATCTTTGCGATTGTCAGGGAGCGAAGGTTATGTAAGGCTGAGCACACGCCAAGAATGTCAATGTGTTCGCTGTCAGATAGCGGTGTTACAGCTAACTCTTCCAAGTTTATCAATTTCTTAAGGAAATAAACTGAAAGAAAAAAACTTGTATGAATAAAGAACCATCTGGGGTCACCAAAACATACTCTCATCCTTTGGGCAGCCTTTCAGGCTGAGTTTTTGCAGTCTGTTAAATTCAAACAGAAATTCACGATATCCTAAACAGGCCCTGCAATCCAAACCCACTTCAACCGATCCCGGTGACCTCATCCGGGACAGCAAGGACTTGACACCATTGTAGTTCCGTTGGTTTACATCCAGCGAAATCTTTACCAAGTTGGAGCAATGTTCTTCTATTAGTTTCAGCACAGAACAATCCCAATCATTGAGGTACCCCTTAAATTCGATCACCGTTGAGCCACAGAGTGGCAAAATTACTGGCCATTGAGTTATTGGCACACAGAGCGAGTCAATACTGTAGTATTTATTTCCACTGTGATAGGAAAATGCTTTACCAAGTAGAGGATGAACTAAGGCTAGGTGCAACTTATCCTTCTGGCTTTCAAGGTCTTTGAATATAAGATCTAGAACCTCCAAGGGCAAATCTATAATACTCATCTCTAATTTATTAATATAATAAAATAATGCTCTAAGGTATACAGCAAACAAGGCAAATGGATAGACACGTCTGTCTTCAATGAACGCACTGGTTGGAAATAACTAAGAAAACGATAGCTATATTCACATATCTGATAAAATACTTAGATAAAATACAACTTATAGATAAGATAAGATACTCTTGTCTATAGCATATATCAAAATGCACTTTCTATTTCCGTATCACTTCAAAGCAGATCCCCTCCCTTCTTTCCCTTACTTGTCCGCGTTCTTTCAAAGATAATAGTTTAGCTATCTCCCCCTTTTATATTTGTCGCTGGTATCTGCCACGAGGGGGAAAATTGCATGACTGCAGTGCTGGATCTGCATCTGTGCGATACACGGCCCTGCACACTTCACATTGTTGATTAAAAATAAATTGTCAACTTTGACAATTGTGCGGCAGTTTTATTTATAAAGTAAATGGAATTTTTTCTTTTTGCTCCAAGGGGAAAGACAATTTTTGTTTACAAGATTTTATGTTTTTCTTTTTATTATTTGTTATTTTTAGAGTTTTTTGCCATGGTAGACAGCAGGGAGACTTGTCGTGAGTTCTTGGATTGTTAACCGATTGCGAATCGTGGAGCAGTTTGATGCACTCCCAGATATACAGACCCTCTCTCTCTCCCTCGTGTAAAACCAAAAGACTCTGCCAACTGGAGAAACGAATTTTGAACAAGAAACCGCTTCTTAATCATTCATCAATGCCCCCGTTTAAGGCTGGCCCATGATTAAGCATTTCCAAATAAAATGAAAACCGTTTACGAAAAGTCACTCGGCGTAAATTTGTCACACGCTTGAAAGGAAACTGACACAGAACAAATCACGTGTAACGATGGGAACATTTCAGGTGGGCTGTGCGGTTCCTTCTCTCACTCTCTCTCTCTCTTGGTTTGTGTTAATCCACGCGATGATTTGGCGCTTTCATTGGCAGGGTGTCGTAAAGTTTGACCGGGAAGCTGATGAGGCTGTCCTGATACCTGGAATAATTGGGGACAGGGCGGCAAGGGAATGGGCACAAAAAAATAGAAATATAATTCAGTTTTTGGGAATTGATGATAAAGTCTATGATATTGATGGGTATCTCCTGTTTTTGCATAATTGAGGCATGGGTTCCAGAAATTAGCTTGCGGAACGTTGAAAACGGAACACTGAGGTACGGTTTTGCATAAAATCCACCAAATACGTAACCGGAACAACGGAAGTGGAACAGTGAACGAATATTTTGACCCATGTATGATTTATTAGGTAATTTTAGGAGTTTTCTGTGCCTTTCTTTTGAATAAAAATACAAGTTTCTTAAAGAACTCCCCAGTCCCATTCCTTATTCCACCAAAATCGAAATATCAAACCATTTGAAACCTCTTACCCTTGCTTCAAGCTCCCATTCCCAGGCATAGTTTGGTGGCCAGGAATCAATTAGCCGATATTCCCAGACACCAAACTCCGTTCCCAGAGGTTCCAATCAATACGGGGGATTGATGTACGATATTTGTTAAGCATTTGGCGTATTAACAAGCCTCCCCAAACACCTAGAAAAGATCAATATACCCATTGGAAAGACCAATTGAAAACTCGTCAAATTGAAATTATCGACGGCAATTGCAGGTCTTTGAATGCATATATACAGATACGTTTATATATGCTTATACAATTGAAGAGTCTACTGTCGACCCGTTATTTGACTTTCCCAACATATAATAATCATAACTTGAATTGAAAATTACCACAACAAGACCCATCCAAGTCGACCCAAACAGAACCCCCCAATAAGGGCAATCAAATAAAGCAGAACCAAGCCACACATCGCATAATAAACTAAATGGTAGACAAATATTGAAAGACAGGGTGGGAGGGAGCTGGGGAGCACCAGTCTTGGACGGACTCCAAAGGGGTTCTGTTCTTTTCTGTTCTGGTGTTTACCAAAATTGTCGCGCAAGTGCAGAGGAAAGAGCGAATTGGGTCATCGCCTTCTACCTGATGCATCCACTCTGATCGGTCGGTGTCGTATTTCAATAACTCTTTTTGGTTCTCTGTGTCCCTCAGTTGATGAGAAATTTAATTTGTTTAACGCTTAAGGCGGGTATACGGTAGGCCCGAGCCCTCCCTGTGACATGCGTGGGGGCGTTGTTGTGTCATTTATGGGGGGGATATGGCATGACTCCCTTGACTCGATAGATAGCCAGATAGCCATCGACTTGCTTAATTGTCGTGACAAGTTGACAGTTCGCATGAAAGCCCAGCCATTGTTGGCCGCCTGCCCTTTCCCCAACAAACTGTGTATTAAGTTTCGAACAAGAAGAACTTCCGAATATCGAGCTCCATTTCGAGTATATGGTATACAATATATTGTGTGTGTGCTTAAACACAACTTATTTATCTCACTTGACCCAATTTCCTGGAGCTGCAGCAGTATGTCGCATGCCTTATTAAAAACCATCCGACTACCGAACGGGGCCCAGCGGTCTGGACGGGCTCTGCCCTGGCTCTGGCTTTAACTTTGGCCTGCTCTCGTGGGTTCGATGATTCATTTCTGCTTGGTTACACATTCTGCCATTGACAGACGGCCCGAGGTGTTGTCGGGGCATGCCATTCCATTCCATGGGCCTCAGTCTCAGCGTATGCGTCAGACCTGAAATATTTTACATAAAAAAGCAAGCAAGCTTGAGGAAGTTGAGAAGGTTGGGAAATGCTTCAGTAAGTGAAAATACTTTGAAGGTATAGAAGTTTAACCGATACGAATATATTGTGTAATATCCACAAAGGCCTAGAAATAGCCATTAGCCTACGTCAGGCTTTTAGGGGAAGATATAACTTCCAATAGGAGGGACCAGAGAGCTTAAGTATTACTAAATATGAAAAATCGAAGGTGTCTTGATCGCTATACCAATTTCCGACACAGTTGGAACGGATTGAAGGATCGGTTGATACTCAGCTCAAGATTCAATTATGATTTCTTTTGCACTATAAAGTGACCTAAGTCAAACCTTAAACATCAAAACATCTCAAGAATTGCGAACCTCCAGTGATCTAGGGAGTGAAGAAATCAGTTTGACAGAACATTTATCACAAATAACTTCCTCTAAATAACCAAAGAAAACATTCACAAGCTGTTTTCAAGTATATTTTAAAGAGTTCTATTACTCCACACCACCAATCACACGCACTTTCCCAACCGTTTTATGACCCAACACAAAACCAAAAAAAGATAGAACGTTGACAAAAGGCGTAATGATTGATGCGCTGCACTCGCCCCCCGATAATGACTTTTTAAATACGATTCCAAAGCGCTAAAAAGGGGACAATCATCAGACCAGTGCGATGACAAAGAAGAACGGAGGCTCTCGCTATTGAAATGTAATTTGCATTTCATAAGCCTCCAGGGGCCAAGGATCACAGGGAAAACGCCAGCAGCAAAACAACAACAACAAAAAGTGCTGCCCTACGACGACGATGATGATGACATTTAAAAGGAGGCGAGGACCCCAAAGGGTTCTTAGATGTGCATCAAACGAAAAAAAAAAACGATTTATGGCCTTTTGATGATGGTAAAGGAAACAGTGCAGATATCATGTCCCCTCAGATCTGTCGCTAATATTATGCAAAGTACTCGTGATCGAAGACAGGGACAGGATCCCGAACCCCAGGGTTCCAAATGGGTATTTGCAATCATGTGCGATCATTTTGAGCCTTTTCTAACTACTTGATATTCAATGGCAATGATTAGACAAGATTTACCAACAGTTTGTCACGTTTCGTTAGGAGAAAAGATGGTAGACAAGATGCTGGCAAGGGGGTAATCAGTTTTCATGAGGCTGCAATTACTCTGAGCCGTCACAGTCCGTAACAAGCTTATCAAAACCCGAGAGAGACTTTTCACCATCATCAATAAGAATCAATCAACACAAAGACAGAACCCCCCGACTGAACAGACGAATAGGAAGCCGCTTCTGGTGGCTGTAGTGGTATCTTCTGTTTCGGTTCCAACTCATTAAGTTCTCCAAGCGAAACGTTTTGTCACCGACCGACCGGCCACGAAACAAAGAGCCTTCTTTCTGCCTGCCATACAATACGCGCACATAACTGGACGTTAATTTGCTGGCCTGCATCTGGGACTAGCTCTGAGTAGCTCCTATAATCCGTCATGCCTCGCTGGCGATTTACATTAATGCGCCAATTTTTGCCGACTGCCGTCTGCCTTCTGCCAGTGCAAACAATGGGCCAGATACTCGTACTCCGCTTGTAGTATGTAGCGGTAGAGCTGACTGTAATTAACATTTTTCGCATTATAATTTGCCCTTTTTTCCGCCATCCATTCGACTGACGAGACACGGTCTGAGTTGGCAATTTAATGTCCGCACATTTGCAAACGACGAGGTAGCCGGAAAGTATCGCTGTCTGAGGTGAATGTGGAGGTCGGTGGAGATGGAACCAGGCACTTAACGAAAATCATTTTACATTATTGTGCCACTCTTTCGGTGACTAATAGGAAAACAAAGCTCTCTGCTGTGCATCACTTGGGAGGTTGGGGGTTGAGTATTCCCGGGAAGTGGTTCGTGGAAATAAAAACAACAAAAAGTGTTTCGGTGCTTCGCTACACCACACAGTCCTATTCCAATGATGATTGAAATATTGAGGTTAATCTCTATTCTCTGTTGTCTCAAAGATAATGCCAGCACAGGTCAATGCTATACTTAGCCTAATCAAACTGCAATTTCTGGCCAAAGCTCAGTTTATTCTTGATCTCCCTCTCGTAAACAAGTGCCATGCGATTTCTATACCTCTTATCACTCATAGGTTTCCTATGGCTTCACCTGAATGGTGTCTCAGCGGGAGGAATAGGTAACTCTAAAAGGCGCTCTTGCTGCTTCATTTACTGAAACCCCCGATAAATAACCTTCTAGCTAATCGTTACTTTCTGGAGAAGCAACGATTCCTGCTGGAGATACTCCACCATTTGCACGAACCTCTGCTGAACGATCAGTGGCGTTCGTTGGGTGAACATCTGGTCAGCGATAAGACCCAGTATGTGGTATGTACAGATCAGGAATGTATACCTGAAGTTAAACCAAACAAGTTAACTATTCAATTAGGTCTACAATGATCAGATGGCTGACTTCTACGAGGCTCTTAGTCGGGGTAGACTTGTCCCCAGGGAGGTGTACTTTAATCCGCAGTTCCCCAAGCATTATCAGCAATCGCTGGGTCTGTTTTACTTTTTCTACCACACACGCGACTGGATTACCTTATGGCAGAACATCTGTTGGGCCCGGGTTCATGTGAATCCGGGCCTCTTCCTGCACGCTCTCAGCCAGGTGCTGCTCAAGCGGGAGGACTATCAGGCGCTAGTCATGCCCAAGATTTACGAGCTGTGGCCCGAATCGTACCACAATGAGGCGACCGTGAGGAGTGCACGAAATTTCAACTTTGCCAATTGGATTAGACAGCAAAACGCTTTCACGAATCAGCTGCAGGAGGTGCAACAGATTCTGCCCCAAGAGCTGCAGCCCATCTGGCTGGAGGGAAATTTACGCAGCTCCACCAAGTGGTTCGAGGCCATGGCTGATGTGCATATTCTCCGACTGACGGAACCACAGCGAGGACAGCACAGCCTCCAACAGCTCATCGACGACATTGGCTGGCAGTCCTACTGGTACTACATCAATATGGGCATCGCCCAGACTGAGAACAGCTCGCAGGAGCTCCAGGAGTGGTGGTACAACCAGTTAGGACAGCTCTTGGCCCGCTACAAGCTGGAACGTTACGCCCAGCAGCTACCATACAAACACTTGACCCTTCTGAAGGAGGATAACCGGAGTACGCCTCACCTGCTGACCTGGCTAAACCAACGTTTTAGGCAAGTGACCTTGTCCACCACTAAAAAGGTGACGGAAGCATTGCAAACCCTAGAGACGAACGTTGCAGAAGCAATTTTCTCTCGAAGATATATGCTAACCAATGGATCCACCATAGATCTGGAAGCAGCTGATAACTGGCGGATCGGCTTGAGGGAACTATTTCCCTTCGACCTGACACAACTGCAAACGGAGTCGGCCAGTGAGCCCCAACTGCTCCTCGATCTTCGCACTTCACTGCGATCGCCCGACTTCTATTACTACGCTGAACGGTTGCTCCGTTCGTATCGATGGTATCGCCAGGCTCTTCAGCCCACCCTCAAAAGTTCGGTTAGACCCACCGATTTGCGCATTGATGCCATGGAGATCACTCCACTGATCACCTACGACGAACCAGTGGATGTGGATCTAAGCAATCTCCTGCATGCCAGGCACTTTAACTACGACGGACACTTCATGTGGCCCTTTACCCTGCAGCAACGACAGTATCGACTGCAGCAGGAGCCCTTTAGCTTTAGCCTTCAAGTCACCAGCAACAAGACCCAATCGATCATCATCCGATTGTTTCTCACTACCGCAGAGAATGGGTCTGGGTCTGTCAATCGAGAGCCATTCTATCAGTTGGATTCCTTTCTGACGGTGCTCTATGAAGGTGTGAACCGAATTACCAGAGATTCTCGGCAGATCAGTGGCCTGATAGGTGATCACATCTCTCTCACCGAACTACATCAATATGTGAGGTTGGCCGAACAGGAAGACTTCGATTTTCCCCTGAATATATCCACACCTAACTGCGGCTTCCCCCGGCGTTTGATATTGCCCCGCGGAGGTCGACAAAAGCCCCTGCGGTTGCGCCTTCTGATCGTGGCCACGGTTTATGACTTCAAGGCTAGGCAGGCCAACGAACTGAACTGTGACTTCAGCAAGGGGGTCAGCCGATGGGACGAGCTACCCTTGGGTTATCCCTTCGAACGGTATTTGGAGCAGGAGACTGAGGCGGAGCATCTATTGGGAGATCACTCCTTCTGGCAGCCTGTGGAGATCACCCATTTGGATCGTTTGCACCGTGAATAAATAAAGATTTATATGCACTTCTGTACTTGATTGGCTTGTTGAGCTTTAGAGTTAAAAGAGTTCTTGGGGAATATATATATAGACTGTATATGAATAAATTTATGTTGTGAAGTCATCCTAAGCTCCTCCTCATCAGATAGAGTGTAGATCCATTTCCTATCTAATCTTAAGACTCCAAAGAAGTTTCCTATGACATTAAAGTCTTCTACGATAAAGATTTCTAGGGATAGTCCAAGTCCATTTCGTTCTTTGACCATCACCCCACTCCATACGAACCTTTTAAGAAATCGTTAGGCCCAACTCCATAAATAAATCTTAATTCCACTTTACCGTTCTTTGGCTAACCCACCGTCCTGTCCTCCTATCCGTCCACACACTCCACCCAAGACCTTTAACGGCAAGTGACGCCAAATTTGGGTAATTACATGAGCTGGGGTTGGAGCACTCCATGGGGTCTCGAAGCCCCTCGAACCAACATGTATAAAATATTAATCAAAATCACAAAAGAACAAGCTCAAACGGGGAGAAGCCACATCGAGAATCAAAACAAAAATTAAAAAACGAACAAGAATATGAAGAGGAAAAGGCATTAGGCTGCAAGAGAGTCAAAAGAGGCAAGTGAGGTAGGTGGATTGAGGTCTGGGTCTGAGGTGGACTGGGGTTGGGGCACCAAATGGACGACGTTGCATGGATGCAAAGTACTTTATATCAAGTCAGAGAACGGTTCCATGGGGCGATTGAGCGGCAGGGGGAGGGAGCAAGACAGCTAAACTTGTTATACGCAATCGAATCGAAAATATGGGCGAAATATAGCGACGTCTGAAGAGTCGGTGGAGTAGGAGTAGGAGGATAGGTGAGCTGCAGTGAGTCGCGGCTGTAAATCTAGAACTAGTTTTGTATTTTTTATTTTTTTCTCTCTCTCTCTATCTCTTTTCGTTTTTTTCTTCTCTCTGTTTTGTCTGTGTGTTTCTGCTTTACCCGATGACGCGGTATAAAAGAAAATATTGGACACCTGCACGGTTTCGTATAGCAGCAATACCCACAGCTACAACAAATACTGAAACAACAGCAAACACACGAGGCGTATGTATGAGGAGGGGACAAGTGAAGCCCGAAAAAAATTAAATAAACGTACGGACAGAGGGCAGAGAGCGGCAGAGAACGTCGCCGCGTTGATGGTTAAGCGAGCGCAGATAACACAGGGAAGAACAAGCGGGAGAGGAAGAAGATTCCAAACTCTAGTCGATATCAGATGCCCTTAAATATAGAGACATCTACTAATTTTATTTTCACTGAAGTACAGATATTCGGATTAGCTGAGAATTAAACAAATTGAAAAATTGTAATCCATTACCTTTTCCAGTGAATGAACAGCGGGAACGAAAAAAAAAAATGTTTTAGAGGAAATGTAAACAAACCCTCAGGTGTGACCGTAAAAGTGTCTGCCAAAAGGACGGTCACTCTGCTATCATCTTTTTCGTTTGTCAGCTGATTCCTAACGGGGTATATGGTCACACTGCTGGTTTTTTCTCGAGCAATGAGCAGATGATTCATGAAATCTATCGTCATATATAAATATTAAAAAAAGACTTACATTCTCGAAACTGAAACAATAATCGAATTCGTTATTTACGTTATTGTATATACGTAAATCTCCGTCAGGAAATTAATTTTTATATATTATTTAGGTGCTATAAAGAACTATAAAGAATTTGAATATATGTACCATATATGAATGCAAAAATAATAACACCTACTAATAACAACAAAACTAGGGGAGAAATTTTAGTAAATGTATAATTATTGGAGTTACACAACCTCTACTTTTCAATATTATATACGTTATTTTCAGCCAGCCAGAATTCCCCTAACGTATTTTCGTTTACTGCCCGACAAACCGCATATTAAATTTATGATCCTCATCAACCCAAACAAAGGGTATGCCAAGACAAGGCAAGCGTAACGCTCCTTAGATTTTCCTTAGCCTCTCCTACTCCCACACCCCTGTACATCTATTTATCTCACTTCTCGTCTGGTTGCCTTAGGTAGCTGCAAAATTTTGCCTGTTCCGAAACCCAAAAACAAAACAAAAAAAGAAAAAACCGAATAATAAAAAGGGCAGCCGAGCGTAGAGCGATAGAAAAGGAAAGGACAAAAACTAATGGCCAGGCTTTTATTTCCAAGAAATTTAAAACTTTACGAAGTAAAAGAGGGATCCGAAACAGGGAAGAAAGAATGAAAAAAAATGGCGTTAGAGCACTCGAGAACACATGGCAGAGTGTCTGAGGATCTGTTTTGGGCAGTCAGAGGCAGACGCTGCCGCAGGTAGATGGCCGTTGAAACAGATTCGAGGTTTCGCGGACATCGAAGACCTAGAAATGGTTTTCTATATATATTTTTTTAATTTTGATAATAATTTACGAGGCGGAATAAAGAACTTTGGCCCAAGTCAAATGGCTTCTGAACAACAACTTCTGGTCAAGAGCAGACTCCATAAAAATTCCTCTGACAAAAGATCTGTTGTGTTGTACGCCTTTTAAGGTGATTCCAGTTGAAATGCATTTTGTCAGCTCAGCCTCACTTTTGGCCAGGCTATAAGAAACTCCTTCCACTCTCCGTGGGACTGTAACTGTACAACGCGAAGGTGAACGGAGCTGCGGCGCAACGAGAACTGACAACTGTCCGCACCCAGAACACGCCTGTCCGTCCCGTTGATAGCTTTTTGAACTTTCCGCCGCATACGTCCGTCTGCTCTCAGTCTGTATCTGTTCTTTGCTGCCCATCGGCACTTTTACTCAGCTTTCCGTCTGTTCGAGGTTCGCATAATTAATAAATTGCATTGTGTGGAAAAGATTAAAATCTTTGGAGATTGCCATGGATTCGGGCAAGCTATGATTAATCTTACAGTATATATATGTTGGGCTGATATTATTTACGAGGGGATATTATTGGCATCTTACTCTTTGTTTTGTAGCTAAAACTTAATATGCATGTACGATTCTCAGCTGTTCGAAACATGTATGTACATACAGCTTATTTCGTACAGTTATCTGTCAATGTCTACATGCGCTCATTTTTCCATTTTTAATGATATTTCATTTTCATGTTGTTTTAATTTTAATATTCTTGTCGGGAAAATATTATTAGCAATCGAATGACATACAGACAATTCTCTTTTAAGTTCTAAAAATTATCTGAAAGAAATCATATTTTGTAGAATTATCTTTTAAAATCTACTGTCGGTCACATTTTAATTATCGTAGACGATAAATTTAAGTGCAATTCTATCTGAAATTACATAATAATAATTAATAACAATATAAAGTTACTAAGTATTCATTTATTAAATCTGCAATACCAACATTTCGGAAAGAAACAGATTATTTTCCGTTTGCAGTTCACATTTTTTTTTTCCATTTTGGGATCTTTTTTAATATATTGTAAATTTGAAATTTGTGTGTTTCGTTTCCTTTTTTATATGAATTGTTTATTTATTTAACTAATAGTATAATTAGATTGTTTTTATTGTGCAAATAGCGACTCCTTTGCTTTGTTTATTTCCTTTCTAATATAATTGTATATGAACCACAAGTTACTCTCTCCAAAAGAGATTTACGCTAAATGGTCTCTTTCAGCAGTATTACCTTCCGTTTCGGCAAAGATCGCAGTGCAGTCTTACACTTTCCTGTTAATTCCTTTCATCATCTTTGGTTTTTTTTTTTTTTGCCATTTTTGCATAATTAATAAATTTTTGCAGAGCGATAAAAGCTGCCCATCCCCATCTGATCTGCCCGACTCGACTTCGTTCTGGGCCTTATATTTTTCGTTAACGCTTTATTGACAGACACGCCAAGCAAGCCGCAGCAGCTACACACATAAATCGACAGAATGCAAATGCAGCTCTCTTGGCAAGGGAACGGAAAGGGGGACGGCTTCACTGTAGCTGTAGCTAAAGATCTTGAGAGGCGATAACATATGGGTGCTTAAGCAAATCATTCGCACAGTCCGTGGAAGATTATGATGAGTGGGCAGTGGAATCGAACTTTGGCAAGGATTTGGTGCTACTTTTTTGTGGTTGATGAGAGAGCACCCACTGTTGATGAGGATTAACGAGTGTGGAGAACAGATCCTGTACTTCAAAAGGAGTATATGTATTTCTTAGGAACTTTGAGACAGTTCACAAACCACCACCCACAACCACCTACCCCAACAAGGCCATTGAGATGCCATTCATTGACCCACTTTCACTGTCTCCCGAACAGAGCTGGGAGAATGTGCATGTGAATGGGAACCCACTTTCGATGACACACAGAGAATTATTGAACAAAAGTGGACAGCCCTTGGCGACATGCCGACATGGCACGATAAACCCAGAGACGCGTCGCGCATCGCTCACCCGCGACTGAGTGCAAAACAAAAGACCCACAAAAACATATGCGGGAATACTTCCGCTACAGGAGATCGCGATCGCTGTCTGGATCACCCACACACAAAGCCAGAAACAAAAGGCAACAACCAACCAGTTGCCAACCAATTCGTTTTGGGTTGATTTACGAGACAAGGTCGAGACATCGCGCTGCATTTGAAGAACATTTCAGACATTGCAAAACAATTATCAGTCAAAATTAAAAATCCAATCTTCCGTCGCCCCCCCACTGGCTGCCCAAAATGAGGTCAAATATATGTACATATGTGCGTGGGGTGTTTGGATCGTTTGTCAAGCGGGAGAGTTCCAGTAACCACAATAAAGTATGTCACAAATTCGGTTCGAGAAAGTGTCACATTAATTGCGGGACTTCCTTCAATCAATAGAAAGGAATATGGAATGCTAACTATTTCTTTTCGTTATAATTTGCATTGGCGTTGAACCATTCAGTTGTCCAATGATTGAAACCCCCATTTATTCGGACTAGAAAATGCGCAGGCCAGAAAACTATTTATAAACTCATTCCAAGCGGTGGCCACTTGGCACTCGGCCAGATATTATAGCCTCATGAAAGTACTCTGAATGAATGTGGGAAAAAACGCCACACAGTGCGGATGGAATTGGTCAGATTATAAAATTAAAAATAGTTCGCCAACGTTCTCACTGGGAGAATGTGACATCAATATAGCTTGGCATAAAAATCTGTATTATAGAGATTTTTTTATTACAAAACTTTATAAATTCTCTGCAGAAAATCGCATAAATATCGTTCGTTCATCAGCTTTTCACAACATGCCATAAAAGATCAGCAAATAATTTAATATAGTATATCTCTTGTCTTGTTTATTAAACTGAGAACCCCAGAGTGTTTCCAGAGTTCACTAAACCAATAAATCTCTGCATAGTCCAGAGCTCTATTAAATGTATTGTACACCCATCGATATGGTACAGATCCCCACAATAAAATAAAACAAGGCACGGGCAATAAAGTGCAATTGAAGGCGAAAATCTAAATGCAATTGATGCGATTTTTATGTGCCAACAGAGCAGGGCTAATTGCTGTAATTGATTGGAATTATTATGGGGCACTTTTTTGTGTGGGGTTCCATTCGAAGCAGAGGCAAAGGCAGTGCTGATAACGACAGTCGATGGACAGTCCGCCTAGTGATTTGATAATTGTTCAACTGGTTTATACGTTGCCAAAAAACAAACAAACAAAATGGCACAATACCTGCCAATAGAACTGGTCAACACTTCGGCTGCAGTCTCAGCTGCGGCGTCGGCGGCGGCTGTCCAAGAAGTTGACATCCTTGGCATGTGGGTTTTAATTTCGATTTCAGTCGAGGCTTTGGTTTTGGCAAATTAAATATTGACAAATACCCGCAGACAACCACCAATCGAAATTTTGCTCTTGGCTTATCGCTTTGAATTATGTATGATGTGTGGCTATGTTCCAGTCTGTTCCAGCAGTTCCTCTAATTGGTGCAGAAAAAGCTGCATATTGAGAGGGAAATATTAAATTAGTAATATGAGTAAATAGTGTAGGGCTAGAACAAAAAAACAAATAAATAAAATATAGATATTTTTACTATTCAAAGTGTATATAAAAAAGTTCAATTTCCACTTGTTTCTTTCTACTTTGACTTGTCTAATTTACTGTCGACACTGCAGCCCTGGGCTTATCGATAGATTCGAACTTTAAAAAGCTCTCCAGCCCTCGAATAGCTTGTCTCTTTTCTTTATGTGTTACTTTCGGCTAATTTGCGAATTGTGAAAAGTGGATTTAAACGAAATTAAAGTAAATTATTTAAAAAGAACAGAAAACAGAGGATATTTAGATAGTTTCAGTTCCCTGCCGTATTGTGAGGTGAGTATTTACCCAGTACTAAATTTATGACTAGGAAATTCATATGTAAATAGTGTTTACATACACACGAATGGTTTATCTGCAACTTAAAGCCATACAAATTTTAAATTTCATTCAATATTAAATTTGAAACCAAAAACTAACATTCAGTCTGTAGGAAATGCAATAAAAAGCTGAACAGTGTACACACTCTGACAAAGCGAGGCGCAAACAATTTTTGTTTGCTTTATTTCGCTGCACATTCTGGTAGCACGCCCCTGCTTTGAGAGCCATGTGTTGCAGCAACAGCGCAGCACAGGCAGAGCAAACAATTCACGCCTACCGATTCTTCGATGCAATATAAAATATTTCTATTCCAGATTATTGCATACAATTTACCCGCTGATGTGTGCGCGGCGCGGCACAAACGAACTGGAAAAAAAGTTACCTCTAAAAATAACCAAAAATCAAGCTATTCTCAACTTTAATTTGACAGCCAGCGAGGCCTCGTCCATGAATCTATCAGCAACATCAATGCAATAAATGTCTAAAAATATATAGAGATATAGATAGGCATATTCCATGACCATTGGCAACGGGAAGAATTGCAATTAGGACCAGAGCAGACGCGCGACATCCTTTATGTAAGTAGTCGAGACTCCAACTAGTTTTGTGTATATCCACCTAAAATTAAAAGTAGTTTAATGCTCAAATAATTTAAACCATTTTATGGAGTCCACCGTCCCAGCATCGCACCAATTTAATTAAGAAATTTAGCGACTACTGAGCCCATTCCACTGCCAATCAACCTCATAATTTGCCAATTTCTGACTAAAGCCGTTGTCGGACCGCAATCGCAACAAAAGAATCGAGCAACAGCAACATAAGTTTCGCATTAAAACAACAAAAATATACGAGTATATCCCACAGTAGAGGCGGGTCGCGGATCCGTCGTGGTCGTTGTCGTGTAACCAAAGTCCCCAGACGTTGATGGGTTGGGAGAGCGTAAGAGCTCTGGTCGGGTCTTGGCTGGTCTGTAGTGATCTCTGGATGAGTCATTCCCGTACTGCTGGCAGACGTTCCAGACAACGGACAGATGGGCACACGATCCCGCTGGAAAAAAAGCTTCAATGTGTGAAGTGTATATGGTAGCTTTTTGGGGGCACGGGGGCACATAGCCCGCCGCCGGGCCGCCAGACTGAGTCGGGGGGCGAAAAGGGCTCAGGGTCGGCACCGAAACTACCTGAACGTGGCCAACGATCAGACTGCATTGGGGACTTGCTAATATCATATCTGGCTTCAAATTGTTGATCATTTAACTTTGTGCCGAACTTGAAGATTTGCCTCTTCGCTTGGCTCCCCCTCCCCGGCCCCAAACGGCTGCATGACTCATAGACTGCAGGTAGTTTGCCCCCACAGTCCCGGGCCTAGATACAGTCGAAGTCATCTTTGTTTTCCTTTTCGCATACCCTTGGCTAGGGGGGTACCTAAGACTTTGGATAGTTGTTGGGTTGTGAAAAAATATTCTTAATGCAGAAATGTGTGCGTTGAAGCTCTGCTTATTGTTTGTCTGTTTCCAGGGTATTACCACTTTCGGGGTCTGTGGATGCTGTGAGACACCTTTCCGGTCGGTGCCCGTCACTCTATTAGATTTGCAGAGGGGCTTTTCAGGTAGATTTATTGTACAAACAAAGTCGAATGGGCAAATAAGCAACGGGCCGAGCCGAGCCAGGGAGTCGTTCGGGGCGTTGGGATTGGAAAAAGTATTTATATTTGAGCTTATTTATGGGTTTCGGTTTGGTTTTGGGGTTTGGGTTCAATTCCCTCCCGACTTGACCACTTGCCATAGCCGTCCGCCCGCCTTCCATTCGATGAGTCACTCGATCTGCCCGATCTGTGCTCCATATGTGCGGAAACCGAACTCCTTTTTCAGCAGCATTTTATTATTGTTATTATTCTTGGCGCTTTTTTTTTTGCACTTTTGTTTTGTGGCTCGTTCGTTTTATTAAAAGTTGATTGATTTTATAGGCGCGATAAGTTTATTGTAGCCGATTGGTTTGTTCGTTTTCATGGTTCGTGTCCCTGTACCGTGCCCCCCACACCTCGCAGATGACTAATGTTCCGCGTCTGTCGGTCTCTTGGGTCTCTTTGGTAATGAATTTTCTTTGTTGTTTGTCCATGCGATCTCTTTGTTGGTACATTGTTGAAAAGATAGTTATAAACACTTGGAAGTGGTCGTTGACACTTGGCTTGAATGGATCGAGTGGCGGCTAAGAGATGGTGGGTGGGTGTTATAGGTGATTGGCAAATAGCCAAGGGAAGTGGAAAGTGGAGTTGATCCCACTTAATGTACAAACCCCTGAAATTGTAATATTTACAAGGTATCGCAATATATATTTGCGGAGAATGGTACATTTTGAGGTTTTAATAATAAATAAATTATATATAAATCGATTTATCAGATACTTTTCCCATTGAATTTTTTTTTGTATCCTTTCCCCTGAAACCTCCTACCATTGCAGCCCAAATTATAACGAAAGACCTTGAATGTCAACGCCATTTTCCAATTTACGGCCAGCAATGTTCGCTTATGGCTTTGTTTAATTAATTTAACAGGCAAATGGAAAATGGAGACCATAAATAAAGACCGCAACTAATTGCTGACACAGTTAGCTCGACAACAGACAGTGACACAGACAGCGACAGCGACATGGGGGCCTTTGGCGTGGGCGCTGCCAACAACCAAAGATCAGTAAAAAAAAAAAAAGGCCAAGAAGTTCTCCACAAGAGGGAGAAACACCTGCGCCACGCCATGCAAATGGAGAGAGCACGTGCTTTGCTCTAGACCCAAAACAAATTTAATTTCATCGGAAATTTAGAAACAAATTTCCATTTCCATTATCTGTTCAGAGATAAATGAAAAAGAATCACTTGAAATATTCCCTGAAGCTGCAGTTACAGTGGAAGCTGCTGCTCTTTCAGTTAACCAGAGACGACAGTTGGCACGAGCCATAAATAATACCGGACAGGCCCGAATCAGCTGAATCATCACCAACCGTCATGATCAGCAGCAGCAGCAGCAGCCACCTTCAACAGCAATTACAATGTCTGTGGCAGAAGCTCTTCTGTCCGTCCCCAGGGAAAAACGCCCACTTTGGGCACCTCCAAAATCGTGGGCAGGCCTAGACATACACATGGTACACCAGCCCAAGGGCCACGGGCACGAGCCCAACCATTTTGAGAGGCGAGAGTATTTTGTTTCTTTGGATGGTTTTTAATTAAAAGAGCTGCAACTGTCCGACAAACCCAAAACAAAATAAATGACTTTTACTCTGAAGTGGTAAAAGCTTCTTTTTCTCCGCAGGTCTTGTCACAATCGAACAAGTCATGGTCCAAGTTGGTCTCCGATTCTTCTGTCTTTGGACAGATGGTGTCTGGTCTTCCAAAGTTCAGGTTATAAGAACGTTGGTTACTCTGTAGCTGAGACCACAAATCAGTATTAGAAAGAGCTTCAAAAAATAAAATGTAATTTTTTCAAATTTTTCTATAGAAACTAAAAACTAAAAAAAATTTTTTTGTTTAAAAATAAAAATGTTAGAAAAAAAAATTTTTCCAATAAAACCAAAATTAGTTGCATTTTTTTCAATTATGTTGTAAACAGGAATTAATTTGTATTTGTATTTTAAAGTTTTTTTTATAAAAATTATATATCTCTTATATTAATTATTCGAAAAACCTGTCAGTCAGATATGCATACGGTATGCAGATTACATTTTTTTTTCAATTCGATACATGGAACTTGACTCTTTACTCGTTGCCTTTATGTTTTTATGGAATATAGCACTTAAACTTTAGTTAATTGGGAAAAGAAGAAAAAGTTAGCATTGAAAAGAGTAACCAAGAAACGCTTCGAGTCATTTTCCTTTAGAGCTCTTGTCTGGTTTGGCAGCCCGACTGGGCGTATGCCCCAAGAAGGGGCCACCAGGCCCCAACAAACACAGCAAGAGCCAACGAAGTACAACTGTTCCACAAATGTTTTGGGCGTCGTCATCGTCATCATCATCATCACTGGGATCAGGCATCGGAGAGTGGCTTGAGTGGGTCTGGGTCTGGGGCCTGTGCTGCTGGCTGTGCGCCTTCGCAAAAGCCTGGCACGTGCGCAGCAACCAAAGCCAAAGCCACAGAGTCAGAGCCAACTCCAAGCTTCATTTCGTTTGGTTTGGTTTGGTTTCGTTTCATTTCTGGTTTTTGAAAAATGACATACAATGGGCTTGGGTTGAGTGCTCGGCTCAGATTGGTTTGGTTTGGGTTGGGTTGGGTTTTGGGGGCATTTGTGCTGGAAAATCAACTTGTTTGTGTGTGTGTGTGTGTGTATTGGAGTCTCAGGTGTTGGTGGATGGAGTCGCCACGAGTGGCCTGCCACCGTTTGATGACTCTGTTTCGACTCGGTCTCTGTGTTTTTTTGGGGGCCACTGATTAATTTACGACGCTGGGTCAACAGATGGTGCACAAAGGGTTTAGCTTGTCGCTAATCGGTCAAGGTTTCCCCATTGTCTATTTCCAAACAGAACCAAACGAAGCCATAAAAACGCAACGCTCTCGCAACCCAATCAAAAGTCCAGTTAAACAAAGGTTTTTGATGCCTGTGCCAAGATTAAGGAGAAGAGAACTTCTGGTTGGGTCATGGAAAATTAAAGATTTACGCCAGCAAACACGCCACGATCTCTCTCTCTCTCTAGTGGCACACACCTGCGCTGCATCTGTCTGGTTAGAAAAGTGTGTCTTAATCAAAGCATTAAACCCTTTTGGCACGCTCGCAAATTGGTAGGAACCCATCTCGGAGCGAGATCCTAATGAGGCATCGCACTCCCATACCAGTAATCAGCTGCAATTGCTTATGAAAGGAATGAGACATATAATGAGGCTCGTCTTTGGGGTTGGGTAATTGATTGGGTTGGCTGGTAGGCTAATGAACCTCCAGTTGGTTAGGATTAGGAGGCTCAAATCAAGTCCAGCCCAGCTCAAAGATCTTTATTGTACCAAAGAGAGAACAAACACTCCAGTTGGAAGGAGTATTAAACAAGATTATTTGGCTACCCGTGTTGAACACATTGTGGTCTTTGGTCCAGCTCCCCCCAACTCCAGCAAACAACAACAGACACAATTTATGGCCCTTGGAACAGTTTTCAGGCACGACGACAGGCACCCATAGACGAGAGTTCCAGATCCAGAGAGTCCAAAGCCAAAGCCAGATCCCAGGGCTTGACGAAGCCTGATCACGCATAGAGGGAGCTCCGCTACAGGAGGAACTGGTTACTGGTTACTCTGGGGCCTAGGGAAGTGCTACCCGTCTTACACAGATACACACGGGATACGATTCTCCGTCTCAGTCTCCGTCTCCGGCTTGTCAACCACACACCACACCACACCTCACCCCACGCCGTACCGTACCCACGAGAGGAGGAGGCTGGCGTAACCCATAATTTTAACACCAATAATAAAAAAAAAAAAGAGAGAAACACCAACGGCGGCAAGGTAGATGCAGGTGTGCATCAGGTCCAAGTCGCAGTAGCTGCGACTCTGTATCTTGATATCTTACAGATACAGTCGCAGTCACAGCTCCGCACTGCATCATAAATTTACGTTTCAAATTGTCTGTACCGAAAAGAAAACCAGTTCTCGCCCAAAGATCCCCACAAAGGTTTTTTTTCCCCCATTAACTCCTCGGATATATCCGCCTCCATAGTGCATTAGAATCTTATATTTTGGAGGGAGTGTGTGAGAACATTACTTAAAGCAAATGTAATTCGTATTTAATAGACCACGACAAAGGGAAGTTGATTGTTATTTTGGGGGAAGTAGGAGAGGAAGAAAACAATTGTAGGTTCCAAAACAAAAAAAAGTTTTGCTTTAAGTAGAAATATGTAAAGTAACAGAGATCACAAATAATATTTAAGATTTAAAAATATAATTTTTATTTTTAGATATTTTTATTTTTTAAATTATATGTAAAGCAAAAAATGAATTTCAATCCCTGCTTAAAGATATAAATTACAAATCGATATGATTTGTACAAACACTATCACTTTCCGCCCCCAGCAGTTTCCACTTTAATAATCAAGAAACTCTGACCGGCGAAAATTGATTTATCCAAGTACACCTGCCTGCTGCTGTTCAAAATGGAAACCCCACTGAAGATTACAGATTTGCCCGTTGGAATTCTTGGCCAGATCTTTGACGAACTGGATGAAATCGATCAGTTTAACTTGGCCAGACTTGATCCGTATCTTGGATTTGCATTGACCTACCACACGAAAAATAAATGTACAAAAATCGATCTCTCGCATCGAGAAGTGTCGGAATGGGCCGAGTTTTTGCCCATGTACGGTGCCAGTATTCTTGAAGTGGAGATCAGAGAAACGGATCCGTTGGTTCTAGATTTAATAAAGGAGCACTGCCCCAACATACAACGTGCTAGATTGCAAATCAACAAACAGAACTGTTCGGCAATTAATTCCCTGTTGAGCTGCCTCACTAAACTGCGGACAGTGTGGCTGTTGATCAATAAACAGGAAATGTGGAACTGTAGGCATTAATTTTCTAAATTTTTGCCGGATATGAAGGTGAGTCCTACAAATTGATTTTTATTTATTCATTTATTTGAATTTATCTCAGCTTCAGGATTTATGCAATTTCTTAAAATGTGGGAAATGGGAAGCGATTTGAGAAAATTTGTATACTGTCTTTTGACTCAAGAAACACGAAAAACTAAGCAGCGGAAGAGAGACTCCAATCCTGACCTGATTTTATAAATAATTTCGCATTTGACCCAATTTTTTTTCTGTATAAATTCCACAACTTTAAACTGTAAAATTGTGACAGCTCAGTTAGCTGATTTATAATAAAAAAAAAAATAAGAAAAAAAACCCATACGACAGAGTCATACGCCAGGGCGGACAGTCAGTAAGATTAATTATCGCATTAATTAACTGACCTGAAAAAACGAAAGTTTTTTGCGCATATAAAATTACTCACATACAGGAAGAGTGCAGGAATGATGAGTCCAAAGGAAAGTGTTTAAAAATGTTAACTTACACTTAACGAAATTTAATCCGTTTCTCGAGACGATTCTATAATTTCAATCGAGTTCAATTGTTTTTTTTATTAATATTTTATAGAGTTATAAATATACATCAAACGCTTTAGTCCTCAAAACCCATTTCTTATTTTAATATAATTAATTAACTTTTGCTCAAAATCCAAGGGAAAATTCGAATGACTCTCTGATCCGAAAACACAACGGTGAACATTGCAATCTTTGTTCAACTCTAATCTTGTATCGATTTTGGCACGATCGTAAATCAATTGAACGGGGGGGTACAACCAAATAACCAGCCATATGGAACAACAGTGGTGGGGTTCACTTCACTGGCTGTATCTGGCAGTTGTGTTTTTTGTGGTCCCCGCAACAAGGCGACAATGATCAAGTCCAAATGTAAGTACATTTTGCGGTTAAATAAAAACATTTATCAAACTGCAAAAAGAAACAAACAAAACATTTCGCAATAGAACACGCCACTTGTGGCTAAAACTGAAAACTAATCAAAGAATCCATTCCAGGCACTGACTGACTGACTGAACTGACTTGACTCACCGCACAAGTATGCCAGCCAATTTCCTCTCTGCTAATCCGTTCCAGGACATCGTAAAACATCAGCGGGCATGTCAGATACATCAATTTGACTTTATGGTCTAGGACTACTTTGAGGGATAGACAGAAGCTGCCGCCAGTCTGTAGACCACAATTAAAAGTTAATGGTCAGGCGACACGGTTGATCAGCAAGAAAATTGCATGGACCCGCCGATGCACAGTAGCAGCAGAACAATGCCCATGCCCGTCGGGGCCCAAATATTAATCATGTGAGCACTTAATTTGACACTTGGCAATAATGGAAAGCACTGGCTACCGTTTTTGGGTGGGGAATCTTGAGGGGGGGAAAGGGAGTGGGGATAGTCAGAGCCCGGCACTAATCACCTACGGGAACAACTTCAGAGTGGCCTGTCTGTGACCGTGTCGTATTCTCTTCGCTGGCAGCAACTGCCACCTGCCTTACGCAATTAACAGAAAGATCTCGTCGACACACAAACACACGCACACACACACACGGCCAACGCACGTCACGACAAAAGGTTTGTTCATTCCGGCACTGAACCTCGCTCTCTCTCTCGAGTAATTACTCAATGCCCCACCGAACTGGTTCTCTTATGTTCTGCTGCGTGTGTAAGTCAAGTAGCTCGGCTCAGCCAGATTACAGAAGACAAAAACGAACAACGACAGGCCATAGGCACAAATAAATCAGAGAGATATTGTACCTTTAGATACCCTTATACACACATTTAAGTAAATATGTATAGGATCATGTTAAGACACATAAGACTTTAATTTGTAAAGATTTTCTTACTTAGAACTACCAATTAAACTAAATCTTTGCCTTGGATTAATTCATATTTTAAAACTATATTTATTGTTAAGGTCTTCCTACATTGGAAATACGGTTTTCCCTCATTTAGAAAGTGTACTCACAAAGCTTTCGCTTTGACTTAGTACCAAGAACCCTTTCGGTTACAACACACACACACACTGACTTATACTGTCTGTCAGAGGGGGAGGCGGTGTGAAGGTTTCCGATAAATATTTATGTGTCATTAGTTGGATGCCCGGGCAGTCATCAGGTGGAAGGCATTGAGATGCCTTTTCGTAGTTACTACTGCTCTTCGAAAGGTAATTTATTACTAAAGAATAGGAAGACGAACCAGACACAGACAAAGCCTAACAAAGCTGAAATAAGTTGTCCAAGCCCGGGGGACGCAGGCAATTAAATGTTGTATAAAATAAACGAAATGAAATCAAGCTAAATCGTGAAACATTTCAATCCATGTGCAGCTAATACTTCATGTTAGTATGTTCCAAATTGAAGAGATATATTAATGGTTTTGACAATTGTTTTATGGTAATATGATGAGCATCAACAAACCAGTTATCAAATGCTGATTCATTCTCAGTTGTATTATGGCATTATTGCTAGATCAACGATGGATCTACGGGATCACAAAGTCCCCAGTACTGGCCTTACTTTGTTCTTCGATTCACTTCAATGTGGTTTGTGGCTGCCACCTGCTGAGACCAACGGATTGATGCCCTACAAAACATATGCCGCCAAATCGATAACCTCTAAAGATGCCTAATGGCATTCCTATTCCATCTACGGACTCTCCCTCAAGTGGCTATTGGTGTGGCACGGACCAACAGCGCCCCAAACCAGACGCGCATCTCATGTGTCACATGCCCAGACCGAGAGAGGATGACACATGCCAGCGGATTGTTCAGTCCGCTTAGGGCGGCAGATTAACTTAACTGTGCATAAAGTGCCCGGAGCAGAACGAACACACCAGAATAAAAAGGGAAAACAGACCTGCAACAGAATTCTGCTGGAATTCTGGACTCTGGGGCTGGTGAAAAATTCTCAAGTACCGAAAGTATGCTGCTGGAGTGGCTGTCATTTGCTGGATTCTTGGCAGGAATGTGTAAAAAGTCATGCATAAAATTAGTTTCAACTTGGGTGACGATTCCTGCTGTTCTGTTCTGTTATGTTCCCTGATGCCCGGCCTGCTGCCTGCTGCCCCGTCCTGATTTATTTTCCACAAATGAATTTTAAACACTTGGGCAACACGTGCGTTCTTGGAATATTTTCTTCCTACTCGCTGGCAGTTAAAAATCCATAAAATTATTCAAACTCTTGATGCATATGACAGGCTGAAGTGGGTGTAACGGGATTCGTGAAATTTAACACGGAAAATATATTAAAAATACTAAAATAATATGAGGGAAAATTTCCTAAATGTAAGATAAGGATTCAGATGTTAGAGTAGGACATTTCGATGAGAAATAGTCAAAGATTTACTATTCGTTGCAATAAAGTCGAAAAGTTTTTATGTTTTAAGTAAATAGCTCTCAAACTAATCCTTTAAATTTTTATAATTTATAATCCGGGTTTAATGTTCGATATCTGTTCCAAGATTATATTTTAATTTTTAAGTATTCAAACTACAGTTTATTTACTTATTTCGTGCGAATTCGCTCCTCTCTATCAAAAATTATTGAGCGTAGTACAGTTGGATTTTTGCTGATAAGCCACTCTGTTCTCTCTGTCATATTCATCCCATTGGAATGTAATGCGCATGAACAAAAAAAAAAAGAGAGCTTGTCGCCACGCTCTTTGACTCTCGCTCTCTCTCTCTCTTTATCTCTCTGCAGAACTTCGGCTTCTGCTTGGAGCTTCGCATTCGTCTCTCTCGCTGAAAACCAAACCTTGAGGGAATCTACAAAAGTTTAGTTCGGTCTGCGCTCTCTTCTGGAAAGTTGTGCGTTTTTGCTCCTGGAGAAATGGAAGGGCAATGGAGTATTATCGATTTGCCATTGGATGTGCTCGACAAGGTGTTCGATTTGCTGGATCACGCAGATAAATTGCGCTTTGCAAAATCTGATCGGGTGATTGGCGAAGCATTTGCCTATCACACTCGATATAAATACAAGCGAATGTATTTATCGAATGTGTGTGGCTCGTGGTCAGATACGGTGACCATATGTGGTGCCAACATTGTCGATCTAGACAACAGTTATACTCTGGCCGATAACCAACTGAAAATCATAGAGTCGCATTGCCCTAACCTTCAAGTTGTGCACTTGGGGGTAAAGGATGAAAATTGCGCTGCCCTCAAGTCTCTGATTGTAAATCTAGAGCAGCTGACAACCGTAAGGCTGTGGATTGGCGGAGAAGCAACACCGAATATCTACCACATGTTGCAGGAACTGCCACGGCTTAAAACGCTGAGACTCTATCGATTCAGAAAAGAGGATGGTAAGTTTTGGCATTAGATAAAATATATTTCACATTAAATTTTAACTTAACTGCCAGCTTCACAAATCTACAAATTGGTCGATTTGGAGGAGTTGAAAATTAGATCTAATTGGCTACATCCATATCGCCCGACTCTTGATATTTGCCAATTATGCTTTCACTTGCAAAAACTGCGATTTTTGAAACTTGTGAAAATTGAAATATGTAATCCAGGGAAATTTCCAGAGCTACCCAGTTCAATTCTTGAAAAACTACACATTATCGACTGCGAAATCACATCGGTTTTGCCGCACATCCCAGGACTGAAAGAGTTCAATTTCTTTGGTAATTATTTCCGAGTATACCAGCTATTCAAATGGATCTCAAAGCATTCTCTTGCTTTGGAGAAACTGAAGATGATGCGGGCCCATCCGGAACCAGATGAGTTCCTCGATATGCTGACGTGCTGCAAGAAGTTGCGTTACCTTATCATAAAGCTGCCCGGCTTGCGGATCACCAAGGATTTTCTAGCCTCTATTACGAGCATTTTGAAGGAGAATGGTGTGACCCCGGACAAGCCTTTTCAGTTAAAATTAAATGCTCATAAGAAAGTGAAGAAGGTCAGGATCAAGCATCTGGTGCGTAGTAATTTCAGGATGCAATTAAAGTAAAATTAAATTATTCCATCTATTTGCAGATGGCTGAGACCCCAAATGCAGAGTTACTGCACTTTTGGTGAATTCCCCTATCTAAGGAATATATATATATTCAAAATTAATTATATTCCTCGCTTATTTCTTTCATCTATTCATATAACTTTGGGCTACAGATCTGAGTTAGTAAATAAATTCTCTTAAATCTATTTTCTATGTAGATCCAATCTTATTTTCTGGTTCTAAAACACCTAGATAACTCGTATAAAATTAATTAAACCCGAAGAGGTACGCGATGTCTATATAAAAGACAGAACTCTTGACCCTTAAAAAGGCCCCCTGACTTCCCCTACATGCCAAATGGCCGGAAGCTAGCAAAGACAATGCTCAGAGTTCTCAAAGATCCAAAAAAAATCTTGGACCCTCGCTGCAATCGATATTTGAACAATTCGTTAAGCAATTTAATTCTCACACATTTGCTGATTTTTCCACATTTTCTTAAACAAACAAAATAATACGGGGAAAAGTTCTTCTAGGTGCGGCCGCGTCTCCAAGAGGGGAGAGGATCGCTTCTTATAGAACTCCTCCGATATGGGAACCCTCCGCAAGTGCTCAGAATGGCGTGAAAACGCTTGTACTTTGGTGGGTAAGTTCTCATTTAACAATCGACTGCACATGGGGCAGGGGGCTTTAGCAAGGGCCCACAAAGTTAAAGACTTCAACAAAAATAAAAAGAAAAGACACTTCAAACAAATTAATTTGCTCATTGTCATGGCTGAACGGCTTAGGTTTTTATTTATTTTGTTTTTGGGTGTGCTTAACCGCAGAGTTTTTGACTTTATGCGAAAGATGATATAACATGAAATTTTTGATTTCTTTTCCGTTCTCAATGGGTTCCTTCTGTGTGTCGTCTTCGTCTTGCTCCATTGCACAGTGGTTAGGCTTCAGTGGTCAACAAATTTATGCGAATCAACTTGAGGAACTTGTACTTTGGGCACCATTTAGATCACTTAATAGTGATGTCTGGGGCTGTGCGTGGGAATTTTTATGGAGTTCTTCTGCGTGATATTAATAAGAAAATGCAATCGTGTGTAACTTAAAAGAATTAATCATTAAAATCTCATAGTTAATTTGTCATTTGGGATATATAAATACCCAAGTCCGTATGTGACTGGTATAATGATATTCTTGCAGTAATTGATCTACGACAGAACAGGATAAATATTGATTGAAATCCACATATAAGAGAGTTCCCATAGTTTTCCAAACAGTAATGGGATGAATCAGGATCCTTCCGAATCATTCAAATTTCTGCTTTTGTTTTCCATTTAGGGCAAACCGCAAAATATGTACTCTTCATAAATGTACGAGTACTCGAACCGATTTAGGCCAACTTTCCCTTATTTCGGTGTTCTTAATCGCACGACCGCAGAATGCAAGGCATGGCATGGCTGGATGCTGCTCAAGTGATTAACACCAAGCACTCCCTTGAGTATCGAAAGGAACGCTTCTAGGGATCATTAAGCAATACATAATCCAATTAGCACACAGAGTCTGTCCGTCCGTCCGTCCGTCCGTCCTTCCTTCCGTACGTGTGTGTGTGTGTGTGTGTGTATGAGTGGGTCCTCCACCTGTTAGGGGCACATACAAAAGGGATGAAGGTTTTAATATTTTTGTTGAACCAAACGAACCAGAAACATTTCGATGGCAGCGATGAACCTGCTAAGAACATACACAAACAAGTGATCACGATCTGTGTCCATTGTGCAAGGACACGGAGACGGGGGGAATGGAAATCGGTATAGGCAAGAGGCAGGGGAAGATCAACAACATTTACTTTTACTCTCAATTGTTGTTGTTGATTGATGCCAGGCAAGCAGAGGACCTTTTCTGATATCTGATCTGATCTTTTTCGGAGATGAAAGAAATGCCAATTTTACTTAGAAAATGACACGCAAATGGCAAAAAAGAAATACACAAAAAAAAAAAGAAACGCTGAATATAGGAATGAAAAAAGGTTCTGTTGCCCTTCTTCCTGGACTGGGGATAATCCCAACCCCGGCTGCTCCTCATCAATATGTCTGCAATTAAGTTGGGCACGAATTCGTTATTAGGGGTCAGGGCAATTGATAGCAATGCTCGGTGCTCAGCATACAAATTGCGTGAGGCACAAAAGCAGATCTCGGGCACGATCATTACATGTCCCAAGATAACCTGTCCCGTCCCGGTATCTGTGTGTTGTGAGGGGCAACCTATGCAGATTTGAGTGGAGTGAGCCGAACAAGGGAACGATACCTACCGATCATTTGTTTACACTGAACAAAATTCTGTACGATCAGCAAACGATCTTCAGCTGCTTCACCATCTCATTAGGTTATTCAATTTTGTGAAAGTGTAAGCCTGCCTACATAGATTTCAATCTGATACAGTGCACATCACCGATCGTGTGAGGGGGAAAATCTTCGTATCGATGGTGGGGACGAGGACGAGGCGCGTCCCTGGCTAAAACCCTAAGCTGTCATTGTCATTGTCAGAGGACGGGCTGACAGTTGCACGATTGTAATTGGCAGTAGGCGCGAAAGCAGAACGCATGAAAAATAGGCGTGTGAAAATGATCTACCCCGATCTACCCGGCTATGATAACCCTTCCTTCTGCCGCACCCACTACTCGATCGATTGATGCGAATGAACGTGAGAAATCCGTGGTAGTGGCAGGCCAGGGGGTCAAAATACCATTTGCCAAAGTGTATTGGGGTTGCGTCTAGGTCTAGGGTGATCAATGCTGCGTAAAATTGGATTAGTTCGGGGTCTCATACACACACAGGTTGCCCAACGCCAACGATGCTGATGATAGGTCCAATTCCAGCTGACAAAGTAGCACCAAAGCATTGGCAAAAGCAGCTACAAACCCTATAAGATATTTGGTACGATGGGTACTTTACAGACTGAAATAATTAATTTAATTAAAAAAATATGTTATTATTGGAACATTATAAATAGAGTTTAGGGCAGGAAATGCCACAAACGGAATTTTACAAACTATCGAAAGCTGCAGGAATGTTTCCCTGGTCAAGGTAACGACTCAACGAATCACTTTTCCATAATTCCACGTGGCTTTTAAGTGAAAATAAATAATATTCTTTTCGTAAGTTTCGGTACAACATCCCCTAATTTCTATTACTTTGGTGTTGCAAAATGGGCCCCCACAACCTGTCGAATATTGTGAATCTGCCACCGAAGAAGCTGAGCCTTATATTTATATGCCTGGAGCGAACCAAAGATAGACAAAGGCTGGCCCAAACTCATCCAGTGCTTCGCAGGGCTTTTGCCCTTTACGCTGCCGACAGATACCAGCTAATAGATTTTGAGAGTTTGCCCACCGAGAACTGGCCGTTCATATTCTCCGCATGCGGTTCGAATGTTAAGGGCATTATGTCTTCCATGGCAAAGAATGCAGTAGCTGCGGTCAAGCTGGCAGCCAAACATTGCCCCAACCTGGAGGAACTGTTCATTTCCATACAGTCAAAGTATTGGGACAAACTTAAGCCGCTGCTGGTGAAACTGAAGGCGCTGAAGGACCTGAGATTGATGAATGACTACACTCCGATTGATTTGATGAACACATTGCTGGAACTCCCAGAAGTGACGACCCTGCAATTGTTTCGGTTTAAGCGCGAGGATCGTGAGTCGTGCCATGGGGCATAGGTCATACTGGTTATACATATTTGCCGTTTCTATTTCAGTAATTCCAGTCAAATATTTGCTGCAATTGCAGAACCTATTTATCAAGAATGACGAACCGCTCAACCTGTACGGACTGTGCGCCGACATGGCGCAGCTCGAATCATTGGAAGTACGGAATGTTTGCATTAGCTTTCCGGCAGAGCTTATCCGTGATCCGCTGTGGCCCAAGCTGAAGCTTCTGAACATCGGCATTGAAGCTATTCGAACCGAAATGCCGTACTTGCCCAGGCTGAGAATACTGCACATTGAATTCAGCCCCGAAATGGAACTGGGCAAGCTATTCGGCAGATCGGTCTCTGGCTATTCGAACAGCTTGCAGGTGCTGCGCTTGTATAGCGACGAAATTGGCCCCAGCCATGCCAACAATGCCAAGGCCATCGGACAACTAAAATCACTGAAATTGCTCATCTGCTCCAATCTGAATAATACGTATTTGCAGTTTATCAAGTTGGATCAGCTCCAGAAGGTGATCGTACAATCCTCCAATAACGTAACCAACTCGGGTGTCCTTCGCCTACTCCGTGGTTGTAAGAACCTCCGAACGCTCGATGTCTCTGGCTGTAGGAGAGTCAACCAGAACGTTGTGGGTCCGCTCATCAAGGTTCTACAGCATAATGACGTTCAACCCGATAATCCATTGGTTCTTACTGTTCAGTTAAAATCATTCGGGGAGGTGCCAACCACTGCTACGGACCCGAACTATAATTTGTTCATCAAAATATGCGAGAATTTCACATGTGAGCGTCCCTTTACCGTGCCTGATCCGCCCTTTGATATTGAATATTATTGGGACTAATTGGAGTAATAAATTAATAGCTCATAATATTTAATTCAATAAATTATTTGAGGCTGTTTATTCAAACTATTACCAAACAATTTCCCATGTTCATCGGAAATCAGTATTTCGGCAACCTGCAAATAAATTTAGATCATAATTAAATCGAATTTTAATTATTGTTAGACATAAGTTTCTACATACGGGTAAACAGTCTTTCATATTAATCAAGCATTATTGAGATCGTGCCATCGATTTAAAAATAGGGTCTTCTTTCTCCTGTTTGATAGCGGGTTTAAGCGTAATTTGTATACCATTATTCAGTGGATTTGGAGCCGTGTAACAATGGTATAAAAATGCACTTTGCAGGTTAACATGCGACTCGGCCAAGCTCAATTGGTCAGTCATACATAGTTGACTAAAGATATGGTCCAAAATATTTAATGGCAAATCGTATATTTTTGTGCCCTCCATTTTGCTTTAATTGTGTGCACAAGTTTACGAAAATGGGGTTACGATTATGTGTGCAATGAAATCGGACTATCGATAGCTATAAGATTTGTTTCCGGGTCAAGGTAACAACATAACAAGTTACTTTTTTTACAAGCAATGTACAGTTTCTACCAAAGTTTTATTTCTTTTTGTTTTAATTCCATAAATCCCTAATAAGAGTATAAATAAATCAAAGTCGAACAATGTGTGCTAGGTGTGTGCAAAAAAAAAAAAAATTAAGCTACGCTATTTTTTTAAGAGGTATACAGTAACAGCATAATATATTTATTTATTATTATCAATTATATGAAAAAGTTGTTAGTTGCTATTTTATTTTTTAAATACTTAAATGTAGATTTTAAACGAATATATCATATATTAATTCAATCAAAAATTGTTACAGTGTAAACAACAAAAACTCTTTTGGTCAGAGTTGGTTGCAAAACCAGAGGCAGAGACTTAGGCACAAAGGAATCGGGAACGGTGCAAAACGACGGTAGAACTCGGGAGCGTGGACATCAGACTGTAGAGCGATCATACAGATGGAGAGGAGATGACGAAGGTAAGCAAAGAATGGTGCCCCCTCCACAAAAACCAAAAAACAACAGCCGCTGCAAAGCGACTTCGCTAGAAGGGAGGGAGAGGGAGAGAGATGGAGAGTCAAGGGAGATGGAAAGATAAACCAAGCGCAGTTTCGGCTCGGCCCCTGCCTCTCTTCGTTCTGCTCACGGGCAGCGTCGCGCCGAACCATCGCTGCCAGACGCGCCAGACAGGCTGGCGACGCTTGTGAAATTCTCTTTTCTCCTCTGGTACGCACACACACACACTAATAAGAAGAGTATACACACAGACACAAGGGAATGAAGAAGTACCACAGAATAGGACCATAAATGCATTTTCAACAAAAGGCAGACCCCAGAAGAGCCAATGAACCTAAAGAGAAAAAAAAAAAACAGAAAAGAAAGAGAATACAAAAAAAAACGGAATATAAAGAACCAAAGCCCCAAACCAAAGGCCATAAATAAGCCGACGTCGGCGTCAGCGTCGAAGCCGATGCGCATGCGCCGCAGCATTCGGCTGCACTTCAACTTGAGCCATACTCTCATGCTCTCGCCGCTCCGCTCCTCTTCTCATCGTAGGCCTTTCGGGCGAGAGCCATCTTAGATGGAGTGAGCACAGAGAGCCTCAACAGTATGCTCTTGTTGGGACTTAAACTGAGACACTGACTTCGTTGTTCCTTTTTCGGTTAATGTTCATACTATATTTTCTCATTTTGTGACTAACTTTTATGGTGAGGAAAAGCGTAGTAGGGTTTCATAGAGCTTATAGTAATAGTTCCGACCGGCATCTACAAAAAAAGCTATTTATGGGGAAGACATGTGTCTGTCTGAGTTTAATATATCTTACATATTTATTGCGGAACGATGGAACTTTTGGAACGATGTATGCCTTTGGTTAATAATTAAAAATATTATTTTTGGGACGTTGACGTGCAATTAAATGGCCCAAGCTATACTAAGCCGCAGTTTTTATGCGTGAATCACAGCCAGAAAAGCTAAACCTACCGATGGGCTCTGCCGCATGATGCGCGAAAGTTACATATATTTAACAGAACCAAACCATTACATTTAATTCCTACCACGGAGACTATTCTCTACAGGCCGCCTCCTCGACTTATTTGAATATCAATCAGGAAGGGGCGTATCAAAATAATTATACAAATATTCCTTTTTCAATAGCAGAGTATTTCCAATTCGCTGCTCAACTAAAGATCCAGCGTTTCTCTCCTCTGATTGCTGGTGTCTTGCCGGTCGACTTATGCCTCAGGAATTTCTCGAGATCGTAGCACCATTTTCTAGTGCAATTTTTCACTAATGATGACTAATTCACTTGTTGGCAGTTTCGAGTGTGATTCACGCATTGGACCGCGAGAGGTGCGAAATTTGAAACGCAGGTGGCCCACCGACTCAAAGCTACACAATTTGTTGCAGCTGTCCATGTAAATAGTTTTTTTTTTTCCCCCTCTTTTCCATTATTTGTGCTCCCTGTTTTTATGGGCCATAGATCTTTGAGGAATTTGTACAAGCATTTTGTTTGGGTGACTTATCAGCGAGACTTATCGCTTGACTTTCGCCTCGAATTACAATCAAAATCCAATTAGAAGTTATCAGTAAAAGTTCCAAAGATCCAGCCAAAGTTCAGAGCAGAGGAAATGTTTCTTTTTTGGGCGGGGTGGAGCACAGAAGTCCCCAAGTCACTTAAATGTTTGGTGGATGTTGCTTTCCCGATTTTCCAGCTTGAGGCGCAGTTTCAGCTGTTAATTTGAAAATTAGATAATTGAGCCCGCCAGAATCTCAAGATGAAAATGAGGCACACACAAAACTCTTGACCCCATTCGATGCCCGAAGAGCCCGAGAGCCTCAAACCCGCATATAAAACCGAAAGACTTCAAGATTAAGAGCATTCAGTGGGACTTCGATGATGGATCAAGTGCAGGGAGAGATTTGAGAGAGATATTTGAGAAGGTGCAATGGAAAAAAGTCCTATGGTGAATGTAGTTTTGACATTTTGCTTATTTTTATTTTAAAAATTATTTTTTGTTTGTTTTATTTTTAAGTTAATCTAATTGCGATCGTATTCGCATTCGATTATGGAATTAAGTTGCTTATATTGCATTCGGTAATCTAGTCCCATTTTTTGTTAACTACATTTTTATCTATGATCCTTTGCCTCAATTATCTACTCCCATTTATCCACATAAAAAGCAATTTTTTAGCTTGTCCCCAATAAGCCAAAAAAATGTCCATTCCAAATCGCCAGCTCACTTGCTGCTCCAACAAATATCCAAACAAATTATACAGCAGCAACAAGTGGAACTTTTGCATAACAATTTAATTAAAGTGTAGCCCCGAAAGACAACAAAAACAAGTGAAAAAGCTGCGAAAACTTAAAGCGCAAATTCAAATCATAGGGGACCCCAGAGGACCAGGACCGGGCCAGAAACTACCGAAAGTTGGTTTATTAAACAAATCAACTATAATTAAGCGTAATGTATGAGTTAGTAGCAGGTAAACACAGTGGCAACAACAAATGGTTAACCTATGTGTGTATGTAGCAACGATTGGAATACCCTTTTTTTAATTTAAATCGATTAATGAGCTGGGCATAGACACATCAAGAAACTAATCTTCAAGACGTTTTGTTGAAATTTGAAACAAAAGGTCCTAAGCCCCCAATCTAAGGGTATAGCCAAATCAATAGACTTTTATTTGACTTTTTCGCTTTGTGTTGAAACATCTGAGCGCGTCGATATGACTGTGGCTATGGGGAGTTGTGCCCAGCTGTAACACGCATTGTCTTGGCTCAAGTGGAAGCCGCCAGTCTGTCTAAGACCAGTAGGCCAACCCGTCCCGTCCCGGCCCAGACCCGACCAGACTCCAAAGCAGTTGACTTTTTGGCGTAGCAGCAGCATAGTATGTTGCAAGCAGATCCTCGCCATAATTGGAAGCAGTCGCGCGGAACTTGTTGAGCCAAGAGCTGAGCGCTGAACAGCAGCAACAGCAACAAATTATAACTAGCCAGGTCTAGAGAGTGTGCTCCTCTCCACCGTGGATCTCTCTCTTTCTATTGACCCAGTCGATCAGTCAGTTAGTAAGTCAAGTTGCTAGGAATGTAAATATGGCAAGAGGACGGTACGGGACGGGAATCGATCGACTGTACTGGATAGGAGGAGTGCTCACTTTTACTTTTGCGGAACGCCAATGCCCGATGTCCGATGCCCGGGCGATTGTTGGCCACTTTTGGTTTTCTTGTTAATGTGACAAGTTGCCAATCGGTTGGCATTCCCATTCCCGTCCTCTCTGCTCTTTGTGGTTCTTGTTAGCCTGGCCAATTGACACCTGGATGTTAAATGATCCGTTGGAGCTGCAGAGATCGTTTGCGCTTAATGCTTAAATCATGTCTGTGCAAATTATCTCCGCAGTTAAATGATAAAATTCCCATTTAACCAGTCCTCGACCCACACGAAGATCTTACACAAAGCGATTTGATCTTTTTTGGTTTCCACTAAAAAGGTTAATAACAAATTGTGCGACAAAATGCTTATGCCTGAAACAGGGAGAAGCTGAAATTGTGTACAAAGAAGCCACCTTAATGAATTGTTCTTGGACAGTTTGCTTTCATTTTCTTTCAGTTTGTAGTTACGACAGAAGATTTTTTTACAAATCTCTAGCAAAGATTTGCAAATCGCTTTTCCAAGGTTTAAAAAAATCGACTTTTATTTTCTTTCGCTGCTGGGTTCTTACAATCCCTTAAAACGTAATATTTGCCGATCTAAGATAACACTGCACCGTATGCAATCATAAAATCTTGAGCCTTAACAACTAATTTCCTTCCTATCCAAGATCCCCTGCCCTTATCTTTGATCAGTTTCTGCCCATTTATATGTTGCACCCTCGTTGGATAATGATCCTAATCCGGTTTAGTTTCCACTCTCATTAGCCATGGGGTCACACTTGAGTGCCCCGGCAAATGGTTGATATTTTGTGTTGGCAGGTGTTCCGATCGCCCAATGAATCATAACTTTGGCTGGCACCGCTTTATATGGTAGCCGATACCAGAGGTCGTAAAACTTGTGTAGTCCAAAAAGAATCATTTTATGGAGATATTAAAACCGAAAGAAGAGACAGAGAGAGAGAGAGAGAGAACTGTCCCCATAAAAAAGGGAGCCAAAAAGGGAGCTGCGAATCCACCCGAATAGGTGACAATCGAAAGATGAGGCACAATGATGGGTCGTAAAACTGAGGACAGCGTGTGATAAATGTACTGAAGGCAATGGAGACGGGAAATTAACATGAAATTGTGAGACAAGACACGATCCCAGTCACCCCATAATTGTCGGAACCCCGGAGTTCACTCTGTCTCTCTCTCTCCCTCTCTCAGTTATAGTTCCAGTCGCAGTCACAGTCTTCGGGCCCTGGGGCCTTCTCTACACTTGTGCCCAGCACACTCTGCAAGTGTGGCTCTGGTAGCTATCGGGTTCACTGAGCTCAGAGCTACATGATCCCTTTTTCCAGAGTGTCTTTGTTTTTACAGTGAGATAAGAAACCCAAAGAGGGAACGGAACGCAGACAAGACCCTTAGGCGCACTTTTCTTTTGGCCTCAGTGTTTTCCGAGGTCTTCCAGAGGTCTGTTTATGTATTTGTTTGCTTGTTGGCGTAGGACTCGGACCCTTTTTGCTGGTCTGCTTTTAGTCCCTTCCCTGATGGACCGACCGAACCGACTGACTGACAAGTTTCACCTGTCTGTATTTGTCCATGGGGTGATCTATCATGGACCGTACCGGACAGACTGCACTGCACTCGGCTGTCCAGTGTTTGGGTTGTCTTCTTCCTTTTGAGGGGTTGACGTTTCTATTGGTCTGAAGATCTGCTTGTGGGGAACATTTGTTTGACTAGATAATGGGCCAGACACATACTGTGATAGGTAATCCAATAGGGATCCCCAAACATTGACTAGTAGGTGTGTCTTGTCCCCCCTCACTGATTGACCCTTGGCTAGAGATGATGGTAAGCTGATATGCCCGAGGGGCGGCGGCCTCATAACCCCAATCTCTCTCTCACCCAGGCATTGAAAGTGAAATCTTCTGGGGGACCCGTTCATGATCGGACATGCCTCCGAGAGCTTAGAAGAACGTGCAAACTGCGTGCAAAGCAACTTGACATGGCGATAATGATTGACCCAAAAAAAAAAGCAGCGCTACCCGAAAAGTGAATGTCATTAGAAGCATTTCGGGGAAACTTTACAGATAAAAAACAAAACAAAACAAAAAAGACAAAGTAAGGCACACTCTGGGGCAGAGCAAGCTGCAACAGCTGTCAATCAAAAGACAGCAGCAGCAGTGTTCGGGGGAACCAAAACCAGGTACTATCCAATGGATACTCTATCTTAGAGAAAAATTATCAATTAACAAGAAGATCCAGATTCTTTATCTGTTTATAGATGTGCAGAAAGGTGGCTAAGTATATCGATAAGAGGTTTTTGGAACTCCTTTCCCTATGCCATAATCTATTAATGGCAATCAAATTATTTTAATTATTATCCCAGAGTATTTCCATCGTCGATCAATGATCCCTCAAGTTCTTTATCCCAATATTTTTGTGGCCCCTCAACCGATTTGTTTTCTATGTAATTTGTGTGTGGTGTTGCTTCTTTTCTCTGCCACAGCCTGCTTATGCAAGCACACACACAAATATACTTACATACGGACACATGCAGAAGCCGAAGCTGAAAGGCCCCCAGCTTGGTTGCCCCAGATTCTGTTGCTGCTGCTGCTGCTGCTGCCCTTTTATTTTCCTTCATTTCTTGATTTGTGAAGCTTGCCACCAAATGCTTGCCATGATACGAGTAGAACACAAAGTTTTGTTTACATTTTGTTTTCCAAACAAAGAGAAATTCGACATACACATATACATAAACTTGGATAGATAGATGGATACGAGTATCTGTGTGTTGGGAGCAATCGAACACGACCACGACGACATGTTGCATTCTAATGGCCTGGACCACAACTCATCTGGCTGTGCTCCAGCCCCAGCCCCAGCCCCTGCCCCCACAATCCACACTCCACCCCCATCCACATAACCAGCCTCTGTTCTGTTCTGATCATGTTCATTAATTAATGATCAGTCGTCGTCTGTTGTTGCAGTTGGATCTTTATTGTTGCTCTCATAGTCATATCTGTATATATATTCCTTTTTTATGATGACCATGCGTTGTGCTCTGTTTTGAGCGTATAATTTATGACATTTTATTGTGTGGCAAGGCGAATATGGAACCAACTCGGAGACCGAGGCCTCTACACACACGCACGCAGAGTTCAGGCGGATGATCGTCTGGTTATGTGGTTCTGTTTAGGCCCGAACAAGGGTCCATTGAATTACCCTAAAGAAGGATTATGATTGTGGATTTTTAAATGAAGATCATTCTCACAAAAACCAATATTTATTTAATCGTATAAATTGAGGATCATTTGATGCTGTTTTATGGATCAAGATAATATCTTAATATTGATATTCATGTCTATATTTAGTTACAGAAACTTAATAACTAAACAATACAAAATGTGGAAATCGGTCAGACTGAAGACTGGAGAAAGTGTGTGAGAGAAAAAGAACTATCAAATAATCGCTTTAAGATGTTGTCACATTATATTAAAAGGTAAGGAATTGATGATCGCAGATGATAAGAATATATACTACAAAGGCCTGTAAGAGATGATCACCTTAATACCCAATATGACCATGTAGGTTATCTTTCACCGAACTTTAAGAACAAGGTTGATCCCAGGCTCTATCTACACTTATATTATCATTTCTTAGCTCCTTTATCCTGTATCATTCCATATCCCGTTTCCACCTACAATGCCCCACCCACACCCGAAAAACACCTGGCAAAAAAAACCCATAGATCACAATAAAGATCTCCTGTAAATGTCGGTGGGGAGGATTACCATACAGTAGTAGTTGTTGAATCTTCGTTGCTCTTCGCCACATTAAACCTCAAAAGTAGACAACAAAAGTAGACAACAACAAAAAATCGAAATTGATTGTGGTTGTTGCTGTTGTTGTTGTTGTTGTTGGTGGTGCACTCAAAAGATAGATTGCTCATAGATTTAGAGGTAGAAAAAGGGAAACATTGAAAACGAAAATAAAATCGTGTTACAACAACAACGATACGGGTTACCAAATGGGCAACGATAGGGAGAGAAAGAGAAGATAGAAAGACAAAAAAAAAAAGAAAAACTGTTGTAAAACGCATTTTGACTGACAGGTACCCATAGGTCTTGCACGGACAGGGCCAGTCCCCGGACGAACGACGGACAGAGCTCGGGGCCCAGCTGAAACTCCTCAATTTGATTGCACGAGTCAGTCGCGACGGCGACGTACAGAACCAAAGAGAGTGAGGGAGAGAGACGGCGTGCAGAGACGTTGCCTCAATTTGAAAATCGACAAAACGTGCAACTCACATGTCATACACGCTTACGACGTCCGTCCGACCGAGAGACAGCGACGACCGACGACCCATTCCCTATCCCAGTCCCTACCTCTGACGTCGCTACCTCTATCCACTCCGCCTAAGGGGCACAACAGCTGGACGTATGGACGTGTTTTGTAAACCTCAGCTGTGGGACTCCAGGTCTGGGTTCTCTCCATCTCTTTCCCTACTACGCACTGAGTCTCTGACACCATCGACGACAGTTGGCCGCCTGGGTCTCTCTGAGGGCCTAGGGAAGAGAAAGGGAGATGGCAGAGAAAGTGTTGGTTTAGGGATCAAATATAGATATGAGGCTAGAGCTGCGAAAAATAATGTTCAGCTTTAGCAACTCTTTGCAGTTATTAATAGCTCTGGACTATGCAATTTTTTGGGCTCTCCCTGCATCAACCCAAAAACTACAACACTACACCAACCACGAGGAACCTGACGTCTGATGAGAGTGGGCTTCAAGGGTTTAAGCAAAGACAACTTGGAAAAATGGACAAGAAGGCGATCAAGAAAGAGTGCGTGGGGGCCAGCGCAGGGATATAAAATTAAAGCTGATAAGCCGAATTATTAAATCACAGCAAAGGCTTAACCGGACGACAACAACGATTCCTGCCGAGAGAAGCCGAAGCCGAAGCGAACTGTGACTGAGACGAAGCCAAGCCATGCGAAAGGAACAAAGAGAGGAAGATAGAGAGGGAGAAGAGCCTGCTTGGCGTTTTTGTCGTGGGTTTAGATTTATCCACATTTGAGCGTCCGTGTGTGTGTGTGTGTGTATGCGTGTGTTTGTTTGTATCGGGGGCCTCGTGTTGAACCGAAGCCAAGAACAACAACAACGACAACAACAACAAAGTTACGTTGCTTCTCTCTGCATTTACTTTGTCTTTTCTTTGCTTTACTTTGCTTTGCTTTGGGTTTGCCTTTATCTACGCATATGTGCGTGTGTTTGTTCGGCTGTGTGTGGACGTTGCTTTCCGTTAATATTGAACACCTGTACGAACGCCGTTTGAATTATGTTTCCCCCGCCACCACCCCTCGAGCACACGAACAGTGACAATAACATCAGCATAATGAGTCCCCGTTCCGTACCCCAGGCAGCACCAGCACCAGAACGAACCCAAAGTGATTCTAATGGGCTAAATGGTATAGGATTGCTTCTTTAGATGGTTTTTGAGTGGATCGTTTAGATAACCAAAAGGAACAGTGGAATAGGGTGTCACGGGAAAGGGTTACGGACAGTATGGTACGGTTACATAATGTTGAAACGTAATGGGTAATACAATTGGGACTTTTGGTTTCCATAAAGTGTTGCGTAAACCATCGATGGTTATTGGGTTTAGTGGTTGTGGATTCTTACGGATTTTGGAAAGTATTAAGCATGGGTTATAGCGTCGAAAGAGTTGTTCTATAACTTTCCAGGTTCATTGGGGGAACAATACTAAGAAAAATATATATTCCTGGATTCTTTCCAATTCCTTTGTGCTTAATTCCAGCAAATCATCCGCTTGTCTTTTTCTTAAGGATCTTTTCTATCTATCTGTCGAGTATCCTCATTATCTGAGCTTAGATCAAGACTACTCCCTATTCAAATAAGACTATCCCATATATTATACCCTAAGTCTCCCTCCCTTTAATCCAAATCCATTGCGATTACCCGATTCGCATCACAAAACAAGCTTAAAGAATTAACGCTCATTATGATCAGTATGGGCTAGTAAATAATTTCGTTTCGGTCAAGAGCTATTAAATCTGATGCAAAGGAAAGCCAAAGTTGTCCGAGAGAACCGGAGCAGCGCATGGAAAAGGACAGATCGGACTGGTTATGGACGGACAACCGAGAGAAAAGACGACGGCACGAGCGCATCAAATTAAGCAGGAAGGAGGAGATAGCAGACGGCAGCAGCGTCGACAAGAGCAAACAGCAAATAAAATACATACTAAAAACCCCTAACCAATGTAATTTGATACCGAAAATCATTATGCACAAATATACATATGGAATATATATGTATGTGTATGTACTCGCAGAGAAAGAAGCCAAGAGACAGATAAAGAACCAAGAAAAGACGACGACTAATTGCCATCAATTTTTTGCATAAATCTTGGCAATATTATGCATGCAAGCGGTGCTATCCCCCATAACCCCTCCTTACCAAAGAGGAAGAGAAGCAACAACAAAGGTTGTGAAGTTGTGGAGGATCAGAACATGGCACAGTTAAATGCCCGCACAACACCGCACCGCACTTCAGGATTGCCCATGGAGCTGCTGCTGCTGCCTGCAGAGATACTCGTAGTAGTCGTGTATGGTTAACCAATCAAAAGGTTCTTCAACCCTGGGCCTGGCTACGATCTACGTAGCTAAACCATCGCTAAAGTGGCACGATCACCAACATCATTATCATATATGTATATACCATTTATATATATATATATAAACCAACAAACGACAATGGGCCACAAAGCCCCAAAGCGTATTGCAAAATCAAATAGAAAACTAGTAAGAATGGTAGAGACTAGAAACTACGGACTAGAGGGTTAGCCACTACCCACTACTCCTGGCTCTTTATAGAACATTTTATGACCGATCTTGGGAGTTGGGCCTATAAGCTACAATAGAAATGAATAGAAATCAGTCATGTGACATCTGATATCCACTTCTGATCAATTAATGGCCTTAATATAGTATTGTATAGATTTATTTCTTTTGACTGAGTGTAGGTATTTATATACCCTTGATCTTTACGATTAATGGGTATAGGAACTTTACCAGCTAGAATTCTGCTTAGAGAAAGAGAGACAGAGAGTCGGGACGGAGGCGACTCCACCACGATCATGAGGCAAACACGATTTGAAAATTGCGTACGTATCACCCAAGACCCAAAACCGAGTTCATTATGTCCACGAAGGAGTCGCGTCTTCTGTGGTGGTTGGTACAGCTAGGCACAAAGCCACATCACTGTGTGGTGTGTGCCACGAACCACGATCATTATGACGTACAGTGTAAGAGGAACACAATCATGATGATCACTCTGTTGATATCATGGTAGGAGTCGGAGTTGGAGTCGTTGTCGTAGTCGGAGGCAGAGTTGAGAGTCAGCGAGGCCCAGACCCGGGCCCCGGCCCAGACCTATACCCATACCCCAGACCCAGGCTAGTCCCAGGATAAGTTCATTGACTTTCGGCTAGAAGTTCATTGCAATCGTAGTCTCGGATACCACCACAACCACATGGGTCTATCCTCCGCCTTCTCCTCCTCCACCTCCTCCTGCACTTCCCTCCTGGCGATCCCGCCCTGAGTCTCCTGAGTCTTTTGCTTGGCTTCGAGCGTGTGTTGCACACTTTCTGTTTTATGCCAGAGACACGTCCCCAGGTTGGGCCCCTGACTCTGCCACTTTTCTTGGTTGGTTTTCTTGTTCTTTTTTTCTCCTCCTCTTCTTTTTCTGTTTCTTTATTCCTCCATACACTTGTCCTAGAGTTCTCTCTCGCTCTGTCTCTTTTGTATTTTATTTGCTAGGATTAAAGGCATTAAAAGACACGAAAAAGGAGGCTCTGAACGCCCGAGGAGCGGCTGCCTGAGACAGGGTAAACATAAGATTGCTCTATCGCCCTCTCCCTTGCGCGCCCACTCCATCTGTCTCCTTTTCTCCATTACTAGGCATCTCTCTATGGGTGTATTGGAGGCAAATAAAACATCTGTGCCGTAAAATCAAAACACAGAGGGACACGGCTTACGTACAACATACTACTATAAAACTCTGCCACCAAATGGTGTGCGCACGTTGCGAGGGTGGAGTCTTCAATTCCCTTATTTGTAAAAACTGGGGTTCTTTCGAATATCTTCTGGCCAGGTTTCTGACTTTGGTTTATTTCCTTTATCCTCATTGATTAGCAGGAGGCTATCGTGTATGCAAGAGATTTTTAACCTTCATCCAATCGACGACTACTGCTGAATCCCCCCTCGAAAGTCCGAATCAGTTGGCTGGTTTCTCTGTCGCAGTTGCAGTTGTAGTTTCGGTCTCGGTTTGCTGTCCCCGGGCTCCAAGGAGAACTTGCAAATTGACGTCGTGGGGCGATCGTGGGGACCCTTCAAGAAACAAGTAACGTTTGCCTGGTCCTCGTTTTGCTCTTCTGCTTTTCGATTTTTTTTTGTTTTCTTTCCGTTTTTGCTCTGAAATTTA